GGGCGCGGCGGGATCGGCCGCTCCCGCGCCGTCCGCGCCGCTCGCGTCGTTTTTGCCGCCGCCGAGGGCGAGCGCGTCCGCGCCGACGCCCTGCGAGACGAGTCGTCGGCGGGGTCGCGGCGGGGCGTGAGCGGGATGGGGTGGGGGGGAAGGGGGGACCCAGGGGGGCGGGGACGGGGCGAGATCGAACGAACGAATTAATGATGAATCCGCGCGTCGCGTTCGTCGCACCTTGCTCTTCGCTCGGCTCTTGATGAGCGTGCGCGCGTCCTCGATGCGCTCTTGCAGCGTCTGCTGCCCTTCCTCGTCGTCGTCGTCCTCGTCGCTCTCCGCCTTGCGCTTCTTCCGGAGGTTGCGCGGCGCCATCGCGTGCGGGTGCGGTCGCGCGCGGCGATCTGACCCTCAGTTCGGTCGGTCAGCGCGCGCAGCGGTCGCGGTCGTCGGCTGGCTCGGAGAGTCCGACAGCGCCGCACTCCCCGTCGCGCGCGACCGTCCCGCGGGCGTCGTCGTCACACCCCCCGCGCGGCATCGTCGTCCCCCCCGTGCATGCGAGCGGCGCCGTGCCGTGCGAACGCCGCGTCCTCCCCAGCTCTTCTCGCCTCGTCGCGCGCGCGCCGCCGCCGCCGCGGGTGCCGAACGCTCGCGTCCGATCGATCGATGGCGTCGTCCCCGACGGCCGCGCCCGCGACCGCGGCGAAGCCGCTGCCGGCCGAGCCGTACGGCTTCCTCTTCGACATGGTGCGTCCGGCGTCCATCTCCTTATATTTGTGCGTGTACGCGATGAACGAGGAGCGTCGCGATCGCGACGGCGTCGTCGCCCGCGCGTCCCGCCGACGCGCGGCGTCTCTTCGTCGTCCATCGCATCGCGTCGTCCAGCCGATGACCATCTTAACCATCGTTTCTCGTCACTCGACAGGACGGCACGCTGACGGACACGGACCCGATCCACCACGCGGTCTTCTCCGACATGCTCCTCAAAGACAACAAGAACGGCGGCGTCCCCATCGACGACGCCTTCTTCCGCGCGCACATCGCCGGGCGGACGAACGAGGACATCTTCGCGGCGCTGTGGCCGGAGTTGTCTCTCGACGCGCGGAAAGAAATGTGGGAAGAGAAGGAGGCTGAGTTCCGGCGCCGCGCGGCGTCGCAGCTCACGCGGCTGCCCGGGCTCACGGACCTCCTGACGTGGGTCAACATGAGAGGGGTGCGCAAAGTCGCGGTCACGAACGCGCCGCGAGCGAACGCGGAGCTCATGTTGCGAGCGTTGCGTCTGGAGAATTACTTCGAGGCGCGTTCTATCTTACACTGGTCCCCATACGACCCCGTCGACGTGGTGAACGCCGTTCCTTGAGGACTTTCTCTCCCGTCGTCTCTCTCCGCCCTCGACGCCTATCAACTCCGCTTCTGACGCCTTTCAACTCCGCTTCTGACGCCTTTCAACTCCACCCCGACATCATCTTCAAGGCGGTGATCTGCGGCGTCGAGTGCTCGCGCGCCAAGCCGCATCCGGAGCCGTACCTGGAGGGCTTGAAAGCGATCGGCGCGGTCACGCCGGAGCTCGTCGATCGGTGCGTCGCGTTCGAGGACTCGCCGACCGGCGCGATGGCCGCGGTGAGAGCCGGGATCGCGACCGTGGGGATACTGACCGCGCAGCCGGCGGCGGCGTTGTACGACGTTGGGGCGTCGCTGTGCGTGAAGGACTTCGCCGCGGGGGAGCTGCTCGAGGCGATCAGCGGCGAGGACTCGCTGTTTTTGTGACGCGCGCGGCACGCGTGGCGTGGTCGACGTGTGACGTGTTCATTTGTTAATCGATGTATTAATCGTCTTCGGGAGCCCTACGTCGCGTCCGCCGCGGCGGAGGGCCGGCGCTTTCTCCGAGCGTCCGCGTTCGTTCGTTCATTCGCTCGTTCGTTCGTTACAAGCACGTTCTCTCGTCGTCACATTATTAGCGCCGCGGACGTCCGTTCGCTTGCAGCCACTCCGTCACGTGGGGCCACTCCTCTGTCTAAGTCGACTCGTCCCAGGAGCGCCGTTCGCGCGCGCCCACTGTAGCACCTCCAGGTGGCCGCCGTCCGCGGCATGGGCGCAAGTCCTCTCGTCCCACGGACAGCCGTTCGCTCGCGCCCACTGAAGCATCTCCAGGTGGCCGCTTCTCGCTGCGTAGGCGCAAGTCCACTCGTCCCACGGAGCGCCGTTCGCGCGCGCCCACTGCAACACCTCCAGGTGGCCGCCTGCCGCGGCATGGGCGCAAGTCCCCTCGTTCCACGGAGCGCCGTTCGCCCGCGCCCACTGTAGCACCTCCAGGTGGCCGCCACGCGCGGAACAGGCGCAGGTCCTCTCGTCCCACGGACAGCCGTTCGCTCGCGCCCACTGCAACACCTCCAGGTGGCCGCCTGCCGCGGCATGGGCGCAAGTCCCCTCGTTCCACGGAGCGCCGTTCGCCCGCGCCCACTGTAGCACCTCCAGGTGGCCGCCACGCGCGGACCAGGCGCAGGTCCTCTCGTCCCACGGACAGCCGTTCGCTCGCGCCCACTGTAGCACCTCCAGGTGGCCGCCACGCGCGGACCAGGCGCAGGTCCTCTCGTCCCACGGACAGCCGTTCGCTCGCGCCCACTGAAGCATCTCCAGGTGGCCGCTTCTCGCTGCGTAGGCGCAAGTCCACTCGTCCCACGGAGCGCCGTTCGCGCGCGCCCACTGGAGCACCTCCAGGTGGTCGCCTCTCGCGGCATAGGCGCAAGTCCACTCGGTCCACGGACATCCGTTCGCACGCGCCCACCGCAGCACCTCCAGGTGGCCATTTTTCGCGGCTGCGGCACCAGTCCCATTGCCCCACGGACATCCGTTCTTGCGCGCCCACTGCAGCACCTCCAGATGGCCGCCTTCCGCGGCTTCGGCGCAAGTCATCGCGTCCCACGGAGCGCCATTCGCTCGCGCCCACTGTAGCACCTCCAGGTGGCCGCCTCTCGCGGCATAGGCGCAAGTCCACTCGGTCCACGGACATCCGTTCGCTCGCGCCCACTGCATCACCTCCAGGTGGCCGCAAAGCGCGGCATGGCGGCAAGTCCACTCGGTCCACGGGCATCCTCGTTCCTTCGCCCACCTCGCGACCTCCATGTTCCCACCCCTCGCGATGCACGTGAACGTCTTCGCGTTCCACGGACACCCTCGCTGTTCCTTCGCCCACGCCAACCTGCTGACCGACCCGACGAAGTTCGGCATCCTCCCGAGCTCCCTCCTCACCGCGGCGACGTCCCTCACGTCGCCGACGGGCGACGCGAAAACGACGTCGCGCATACTCCGGCTCACCAGCGCGAGCATCGCGAGGTCGCCACCGTCGAGCCGCGAGAGCACGTGCGCGTCGAAGACATCGCGCGCGTCCGCGGCGAAACGTTCCAAGCGCGAGCCCGCGTCGAGATATGCGGAAGTCGATCCGTCCCCCGCGATATCGTCGACGCCGCCGCGAGTCATCCGCATTGGAGACGACATCACGTCGCGTCGATCGCGGGGTACGCGAGCACTTCGCGACGAGGCCGCGGAGGAGGAGGAGGAAGAGGACGCGCCGTCGTCGCGCGCGTGGCGAGTGACGAGACCTAGCCAGATCTCGGGGCGTTTTGTCCGTTTCGCGTTCGGGACGATTATTTGTCCGGTCAATTCATCAGTCAGTGAGTGTGTTTGAAAGCGCGAAAATGCTTTCATCGCGCGACTCCTCGCCAAGTCTTCGCAGCAGCTTTCCACAGTCCACGTCACGGGCGATGGTTCTTTTATCCGAGTCGCGCGTCGCGTCGCGTCACTCGTCGGCGCGCGTCGTCGACCTCGCGACCTCCCGAACGGCAAGCTGGCGCGCGTCGCCGCGACCGGCGCGGCGGCGACGGCGTCCACCGGCCGCGTCCTCGCGCTCGCGCTCTCGCGCGTCTCGTCGAGGCCCTCTTCCGCGCGGCATCATCTTCAGCATCGTTTCGGAATCGGACGCGTCGTCGTCGTCGACGTCACGGGCCGTCGCGCGCTCTCGTCGTCGACCGCGCTCTCCGCGGCGTGGCGCGCGCGCGGGTTATCCTCGGACGACGCGCCGCGTCACACCACCGGTGGCGGCTCGTCCACGCGCCGCCTCGCCGCCGCGGTCTTCGTCTGCCGCGCGTCGTCGTCCTCCTCGTCCGCGCTCGCGGCGGCGTCGTCGTCGTCGAGCGAGATGCCCGCAGACGACGCCGCGTCCGCGCGCGTGCTCCTGTGGTTCCGCGGCACGGACCTCCGCCTGCGCGATAACCTCGTCGTCGACGCCGCGAGCGCGCTCGTCGCGAGCGGGAGCGGCGACGTGGACGTCCTCCCGGTGTTCTGCTTCGATCCGCGGACGTTCGCGGCGAGCGCGTGGGGGACGCCCAAGACTGGCGGCCGCCGCGCGCGATTCTTGCTCGAGTCCGTGCTCGACCTCAAGCGATCGCTGCGCGACGTCGGGAGCGACCTGCTCGTCGCGGTCGGGAAGCCCGAGGACGTCATCCCGAGGTATTTGCTGGAGGGGGGGACGAACGTCGTCCTGACGCAGGTGCGGCGTCGACGTCGCTCGCTCGCCGCGGCGTCCGCCCGTCCGTCGTCCCGTCCCGGCCGTCGTCGTCCCTCCGTCGGAAGCCGCTGAGGAGAACGTATTCATCACGGCAGAGCGTCGTCGCTCGCTCGTCGAGCCGTCGCGCTGAATGTAAACTGTAATAGTTTGTGCTATCTGAGGCTTCGACGAAGGGAACGACAATAGTAACGCGGAGGGATTGGCCGTTTCGTTTCGTTTCGTTTCGTCGCTCGCGCGCCGCCAGCCCGCTCCCGCCTACCCCGCCGTTGACGCCGCGTCTTCCCCGCCGTCGCAGGAAGAGGTGCACCAAGAGGAGAGACGCGTGGACGCGGCGATCGCCTCCGCGGTGAAGATCGCGAACCCCAAAAACGCGATGCGCACGGTGTGGAACAGCACGATGTACCACGTCGACGACATCCCGTTCAACGCCGACGCGTCGGACGTCCCGAACGGGTTCACGCCGTTTCGGAACAAGGTGGAGTCGAAGGCGACGGTTCGCGCGCCGGCTCCGTCGCCGAAACCGGGCGCGCTGCCGCTCGCGAAAGCGTCCATCGACGCGAGCGTTTTGGAATACGAACCGTCGCTCGACGACCTCCCGTTCGCGACCGAGGACGAACGAGCGCGCGCCAAGGCGCCGACGCACCCGAACGCGGTGCTGCCGTTCGAAGGCGGCGAGACGGCGGCTTTGGCGCGCGTCGAGTATTACGTGTGGGAGAGCGAAAAAATCAAGACGTACTTTGAAACCCGGAACGGCATGCTCGGCGGCGACTACAGCAGCAAGCTGTCGCCGTGGCTCGCGCACGGGTGCGTGTCCGCGCGACACGTCCACCGCGAGGTTCGAAAGTACGAGCGCGAGCGCGTGGAGAACAAGAGCACGTACTGGCTCATCTTCGAATTGATCTGGCGCGATTTTTTCATCTACTTTGCGAAGAAGCACGGCAACGCCATCTTCACGCCGCACGGCACCGCGGGCCGCGGCGGGACGTGGACCGGCGGCGCGGGCCCGTGGCGCGACGACCCCGCCGCGCTCAAGGCGTGGAAGGAGGGCAAGACCGGCTTCCCGCTCGTGGACGCCAACATGCGCGAGCTCGCGGCGACCGGGTTCATGTCCAATCGCGGCAGGCAAAACGTCGCGAGCTGGCTGTGCCTCGACGCGGGCGTGGACTGGCGGCTCGGCGCGGAGTACTTCGAGAGCGCGCTGATCGACTACGACTGCGCGGCGAACTGGGGGAACTGGGTCAGCGCCGCGGGGTTGACCGGGGGCAGGGTGAACAAGTTCAACATCGCCAAGCAGACGAAGGACTACGACCCGGACGGGCGGTACGTAAAGACCTGGGTCCCGGAGCTGAAGGACGTCCCGAAGGGGTTCGTCGCGGACCCGCGGCGGATGCCCGGAGACGTCGCGAAGAGCGCGGGGTGCGTCGTCGGCGTGGACTACCCCGCGCCGTTCAAGCTGCCACCGAGGATGGCGTACGACAACGGCGGCGGCGGCCGGGGGGGAGGGAGGGGCGGGAGAGGCGGTCGCGGCGGTCGCGGCGGCGGGAGAGGCGATGGCGGCGGCAAAGCGAACAGGAAGGCGTTCGCGGGGAAGAAGCGCGTGGGGCCGCAGGACGTCGACGTGTACGGGTGAACGAAGGAAAGAAGAAGAATCGTACAGTACATTCAATCAAATTCAATCAATCCATCCGTCGACTACCGCGTCGTCAACTTCTAAACTACCTTCGTGATCGCCTCTCGTCGTCACGTCACGTCACGCGCGGTTCGACCCCGCGAACCGCTCCCGCTGCTCCGCGTGCATCTCCTTCGCGAGCGGATCCTTCGCGTCGCCGCCGTCGCCGCCGCCTCCTCCAACCTCGCCGCTCTTCCCCCCTCTCGCGCCCTTGTTGAACGCTTGGTAGTACAGCGACGCGAACACGAGCGCGGTGCCGAGCCACTGCTGCCACGTCAGCGGGTGCATGAATATGAGACACGACAGCAGGATGGACAGAAACTGCCGCGTCGTCATGATGGTCGCGAACAGCAACGCGCCGAATTCGCGAATCGTGTACAGGATGCACAGCTGTCCGCACGTGCTCGCGAGCGACAGCGTGAAGCAGTCCACGAGCGCGGCGGGGTGCCGCTGGATGAAGGCGATCGCGGCGCCCATGGACGCGTCGCCGAAGAGCCACAGGCACGACACCGCCGCGCTGCACGCGTTGACCCACAGCATCTGGTTGTACGTCTCCATCTGATACCCTCTGAACAGCTTATCTTGAAACGTGGACGTGAACTGCGATCGATCGCGATCGATGAAGGGGGATGGTGACGCGTGGGTGGGGTGAACGTCGAGTCAGTTGGAAAGTCCTCGAGGAACGACGTTCGACGCGCGAGGAGGAGCGTATGGGACGGTGCGGTCATGAGAAGAGAACGCGCACCCCGTCGAAGCCGAGGTAGCCGAGCATGAGCGCGACGCCGTACGCGCCCGTCTCCGCGGCGGTTTTGCCGTGCTTCTTCGACGTCGTCGGGCCGTACGTCGCGAAGACTGCGCATCCGAGCATGACGCCGACGGCGATGGCGTAGTCCTGGAGTTTGTACGACTTGCCGTTGATCGCGTAGCCCCAGATCATCACGGGGATCATCTGCGAAGACGGGGAGAAGACGAGACGGGGTCGCGTCAGATTTGTGATTTCTTTCGTCCCGAGATCGGACGACGTTCGCGCCGCCCGCGTCGCGCTCGAGCGCGACGCGCGCCCTCCTCGAGAACCCTCGGGAGACACAGCAGAAGACGCGCGATGGACGCGCGATGGACGCCTCCTCCGCCGCCCGCCGCCTCTCGCTCACCTTGGCGCACTTCCCGAGCGTCTGCACCGGAAACGAGACGTATTTGAGCGCCTCGTACTGGCACGTCGTCGCCACCACGTTGGACGCGCTCACCGCGGCGTACTTGTACATCGGCGCGACCGGCTGCACGGCGCCGCGCATCCACGCCAACGTCGCGACCGCGACGGCCATCGACACGATCCGGTTGTTCATGACGAGGAACACGGAGAACGTGAACGACTCCTCCGATCCGCCGTCGTCGTACGGCTTGGTCATGATGCGCTCTTGGAGGATGCCGTACACGAGGAGCGACCCCACGACGCCGACGACGCAGCCGACGACCTTGAGGATCATCGCGGCGTCGTACGCGGGGGCGCCCTGGGCGACGCCGGACATCGCGCGGCGGGGGGGCGCGATCGTGGCGACGCGGGCGAAGGCGCGTCCCGGGGCGGGGTGGGGGTGGATGAGATTTGGCGCGGGACGTTGGTTTTTTTGATTACGACGGGTCATGCAGGCCGCTCGCCGACGATGGGCGGGAGTACGCGCGCGCTCGCCTGACTGCTCGCCTGTGAGGATTTCGGGGTTGAAACGTACGCGTACTGCGGCGATTCAAACAGCTTCATAATTCCTAAATTTGACGTTTTGGGCACATCTCATTCGCGAGCGTCACTGCTCGTGCGACAAAGTGATCCCCGCCCGCTCTATGGTCTGATAGTGTAGTTGGTTATCACATTGGTTTCTGATCTGAAAGAAAGGAAAATACCAATGACCGGAGTTCGAATCTCCGTCGGACCTTAACGCTCTTTTTTTGCCGTTACGCATCGAAATCAGCATCTACATGATGTAAGGAACCTCTCCACAAATTTTCAGGTCAATCGGAGCGGTTTTGAGGCGGCGGTGGTCGCGTCATCGTCGAGCGTGGTGCACGTAATGGACAAGGCGCCGGTCTACGGAACCGGATGTTCGTGTGCTCGTCTCGTTCGTTACAAACGCGTGATTCACGTCGACAAACATGAACGAATAATGTGAATAACCTTATATATACAACGTAGACACGATGGATTATCTACGACCTAGGGTGTACTTCAGGCGGGCGACCCGACGTCGCCGCCGCGTCACACCGGCGCGACTTGGTTCCCCGCCTTCTTTTTCGCCAACCGCGCCATCAAGTTGTCGTGTTTCGACTTGTTCACGTCCTCGAGCTTGTTGTTCATCGCGACGAGCTTGTCGACGTGCTCCTTCATCATCGCGGATATAGCCTCTTTATCCATCCCTTTCGTGCCGCCGGCCAGGGCGATCTGTTTCGAGATCGTCGCCGCGACGGCGCGCTCTCGGGCCGCCTCCTTGGTCCGCCCGAAAAACCCGAGCTTCTTCTGTGGCCCCGTCTCCTCGCGTTTCGTGAGACGGTCGCTCAGATCCTGGTTGTGCCGCGCCGCGGACTTCTCGAGCTGGCGGTTCATCGCCATGGTCTGCGCGTCCAGATCCGAGCGCGCGTTCGCGAAGTTGAGAGCCATCCCCGCCTGCGCTTGGTTCAGAATGGACGCGACGCCGTCGAACTTTTCGTAGTCGCGTCCTTCAAACCCGGCGGCGATGACCTTCGCGGTGAGCTTCTGCAACATCTCCTGCGCGTGCGCGTCCGCGAGATCCAAGTTCGCGAGCTGCTCGAGCGCCGCATTCCGCTCGTCCGCCTCTTTCGCCTGCGACGCGCTCAACGCTGCGATCTCGTCGGCCAGAGACGTCTGCGCCGCTTGCGAGAGATCGTTCGCGACTTGGTTCTGGTCCTCGGTCAGGTCCTTCGACGCCTCCGGTTCGATCCCTTCGGGGTGTTGGATCGCGAGCACCGACTCCGCAGCCTCTTTGAAGTCGCCCTCGAGCGTCGCCGTCGCGCTCGCGGTCGCGGCTTCCACGTCCGCGTCGTTCGGCGGCCCGTTCAAGTTCGCCGCGTCGATGATCATCTTCATCAGCGCGCCGTGACGGCGAGCGGAGATTGTTTCGAACTTGTCGTGCATCGATTCGAGACTCGTCGCGAGATCCGCCGCGTGCTTCGCCGCCTCGAACGGGTCCATACCTTGCGCGTCGAACGCGTCCGCCATGTGACGAGACATGGCCATCTGCGCCGCGGGGAGCGCGCGTCCCGCGAGCGCTTCCGCTTGCACGGCCACGGTGAGATTCGCGTCGGAGAATTTCCCCGGATGAATCGCGAGTGCGAGGCCGACGGCGGCTTCCGCGGAGAGCCGCTGCATGTGCAACGTCGACTCCATGATCGACTCGAGGGCGATGACGCCGACGGGATCCGTCATCGGGAAGTCTTCCTCGAGAGCCTTCGCCTTTCTCGCGCCGTACGCGGCGTCGATTTTCGTCCGGCACTTGTTCGCGGTGTTCGTAATCATGGGACCCAGTTTCGCCTTGGCCCGCGCGATCGCCGCGTTCTTCTCCGAAACCTTCGAGAGCATCTGCAGGGTGGACTCGATCCCGGCGATGAAGTGATAGCACTCCTCGATGTCCGTCTTCGCCTCCGAGGCGGCCTCGGGGGTCCCCGGCGCGGGCGCGGGGTTGATGCCGCGGCGGTTGATGCGCGCCTGCGTCGCATACCGCCTCGCGAGCGCCGTGGCGTTGATCCGCTCCTCGATCGCCTCGAGCGCCTCTTGATACTTCAGCTTGTGCGCGTCGAACTGCGGGCCCTTCGGAAGCGTGAGCAACACCTCTTTCGCCTCGTTTACCGCTTCGATGGCGTCCAGGTGCGCGGCCATGCAGATCGCGGCGGTGACGTCGTTCTCGATGTCGTTCGCCTTGGCGACGCGCGCGGAGAGTTTTTTCGACAGCGACTTGTCCGTCACCTCGGCGACGGCTTCGAGCGTCCCCGCGGCGTCCGCGTCCGCGGCTTGCTGCGTCGCCGTGCACACAGCCTTGACGGCGACGTCCACGGCGGCCATGATTTCGTTTTCCTCCGACTTGGTGATCGAGGTGCCGTCCGCGCCCCAGGTGTACGTCATCTGGTTCACGGCGCTCTCGACGGCCCGTCGCTGCGAGCTCACGACGGGAGCGATGTCGTTCGCGAGCGTCTCCGCGTCGAGACCGGTGAGAAGCGCGGCCGCGGCGACGGACGCCCTCGCGGCGGCGTCCACCGCGCTCGACGCCGCGGCGGTGACCTTCACCTCGCGAGTTAAATCGTCCATGGACTGCGCCGCGACGCGCTCGCGCTCCGCCGCGGAGTCTATGAGCCCTTTTCCTTGCGACTCGCGCATCTGCCTCATGATGATCTTCACCTTCTTATCGCCGGGGCGGAAGTGCACGCAGCAATACACGATCATGGCGACGATTAACGCGCAGATTAACGAGACGACGACGATGTAGACGTCTTCGGACGTCTCGCACGCGTCTTTCTTCGAGTTTGGCGTCAACCCCGGGCCGCAGACCGTGCACGTTTTGGAGCCCATGGCGCTCACGGAGACCGACGAGCACTGCGTGCACTCCGCCTGGCTCTGCCCGCCCGTGGTGGCGAGGAAATACCCCGCCGGGCACGGCGTGCAGCTCGGGCCCGACGCGCTCTCGTCGTCGTTGAAATATCCCGCGGGGCACTCGTAGCACACGCCCGCGACCGCGCCCGCGGGGGAGTAATGCCCCTCGCCGCACCCCTCGCAAGAGTTCGCCGCGTTCAGGAAATAGCCGAGCTCGCACGACGTGATCGTCACGGACATCGTCCCCGTCGTCTCGAGCGGCCCGGAGTACAGGAAGCCGTAGTAGTTGGAGTAAATCGTGTTCATCAAGTTGAACGAGCTCACGGTCTCCATGTCGTTCTGGAAGACGAACTCGATATCGTACGTCCCCGCCTCCGCGACGAAACCGAGGTAAATGCTCCCGGTGCCCCGGTACAAGTCCGTCATGCCCCCGGACGTCATCGTGACCCCGTCCGGGTACGTCGCCCAGACCGTCGCGTTCGAGGTGGAGCCGGACGTCACCGTCTGACCGTACACGTCCACGAGCGTGACGACGATCGGCGTCTCGGAGACCACCCCGGGGGCGAAAACCGTGTTGGCCTCTTCGCCGACGGCGACGTAAGCCGCCGTCGCCGACGCGATCTCTGGGCCGTACGCCACAATGTAATCGATGACGAACCCGTCGTCGGTGTACACGTACGAGCCGTAGGTGTCCTCGTACACCTGGTTCCCGGACAGGTCGTTGCACGGGAGCGTCGCGTCGACGTGAATCTCCTGCGCGATGGCCGTCGTCGTGCACGCGCCGCAAAAGCACGCGATGGGCGGGTTCGTCGCCCAGTACACGCCGCCGCCGGCGCTCCACGCGCCGTTCGACGTGATCGTGTTGTCCGTCTGCAAGAAGTATTGCGCGCACGTTCCAAAGTACTGGTCGTAGTCGTCCTCTTCGCAAATTTCCGCGAGGCCGCCGCCGTATTGCGCGTTATTTCCGCTGATCGTGCTCGTGGACAGAGGAAGTGTGCCGACGTCGTTCGATCGTCCACCGCCGTATAGCGAGACGCCGCCGCCGTACCCCGTCCACGCCGTGTTGCCGGAGATCGTGCAGCTCGTGAACGTCACCGAGGCCATGGATTCGAGGAGGACGCCGCCGCCGTCTCGGAACGCCCAGTTATTAGAGATCGTCGCGGTGGAGATCGCCGCCGTTCTCCCCATCAACGCGAGCCCGCCGCCGTAGAGTCCGTAGTTGTATTTGTACGTCGAGCCGACGCTATGGAGATAGGTCAGCCCGCGAGTGTACACAGCGCCGCCGATGCGGTACGCGATGTTGTTATCGAACGTGGTATCTATGTGCTGAGTGGTCGTGTCTTCGGAGAAAACCGCACCCGCGGAAAAAGAAAAATGATTCTGGATCGTCGAGTCCTCGATCACGACAATGTTCCCGCCAATCTCTGCACGGCAGTCGCGCGAGCGGATGGCTGCCCCGCGTAAGCCGTAGTTACTGTCGAATGTAGATTCCAAAACGTACAACGTCGACAGAGTAACGAGCACACCGCCGCCGTCTCGGTTGGCAATGTTGTTGTTTACGCTCGAGGAACTCCAGATGCCAACGATGCTGGCGCTCGCGAACAGTCCGCCGCCCTCGTCGGTGGCATAATTACTGGATAAAGTGCACCCATAAAACATCATGAGTCCGCGATTCATAAAGACGCCGCCACCCGCGAACGCCATGTTTCCAGTGATAGTCGAGCTCCACGCTTGCAGGCCGCGCCGATTGTAGTCATCGTACTTGTCCACGGGGTAGAAAAGATCGTTTTGACTTATGTAAATTCCGCCGCCAAGCCCTTCGTTTGAGACCGCGTAGCACCCGGATATCGTACTGTCGGTGAGGAAAGACACGACGCTCGTCGTACCTTCAAGGTTAATCCCTCCGCCGTGCTTCGCGTACCCGCCGGACAGGGCCGAGTTGACGATCTCTATCGTTCCCGTCGAATATATCAACCCGCCTTGGTTTATCCCGGCGGCGAAGCCGCTGTTCGCCGCCGAAAGGTCGCCGCCGACGATCGTGACTTCGTCCATCAACAGCGGCTGCGTCGTGTCGTCCTCGAAGTACACGCATCCGCCGTACAGAACCGCCGCGCAGTTTGAGATGGTCGTTTTGAATACGTGCATGTTGCGCTTCGTGAATATCGCCCCGCCGGCTTTCAGCGACGTGCTGTCCGTGAGCGTCATGCGTTGTAAAAACACGAGCGCGCTGCCGTCGGTGTTATCGTTGTAGTCGTGCCACTCGAGGTTGTCCGCGTAAATCGCGCCGCCTGACTCGGCGAACGCCCCGGAGATCTCGAAGTTATCGAGGAGGACCTTCACGCCGCCGGTGATGATGAACCCGCCTTGAAGGCCGCTCGCGGCGACCACCGCGCCCGCTTGGCCGGTCACGACGACGGGGCCGACGCAGGTTTGTCGCCACACCGCCGCCTCCGACGCGGTCGTCGCCGCGTTGACGTTCATCGAGCACGTCGTCGGGTACCCAGCGGCCGTGGAGGCTAAGTACGTCGCGGAGGAAATCACCAGAGGGCCGGCGACGTGAATATCGTTGCTCCCCGCAATGTCCGTGTGAGAGCCGCTCATGAGAACCGTCACCGGGGCGAACCCGCGGTTCACGGCGTATGATATCGTTTGGAACGGAGAGGTCGAACTTCCGTGAAACTCGTCCGTCGAGTATTTCGTGTTGCTTCCGGTGGGGGAGACGTAGCTCACGAGCTTGTACCTCCACACGAGTCCGCCCGGCGCGTCCCTGGACTCGGATGTAGGGTCGACGAGCGAAAACGTGTACAAGTGCGTGCCGCACAGCACGGTCCGGCTGGACGTTCCAACGCCAACGGAGGCCAAGGACTCGCGCGCGAGCCCGGTGGGCGCGGTCGCCAGAGATATCCTGTCGTCCACGGTGAGAGCGGAGTACTCCGTGTCGCTTTGCTCGCCGAACTCGTCGACGAACGCGGCCGTGCCGGACGGTTGCGTGAAGACGTATTCGCTGACGCAGTGAGCATCCGTCAAGCAGTTACCGCCGGCGACGACGACGCGGGACTCGCCGAGCGTCACCATCGCGTGGTCCCAACGGTTTCGATCCGAGGGAACGGACTCCGAGGACCAGCTCGTCGCCGTGTACTGCGTCCAGGTGTACGTCGCAAGGTCCAACTCCCACTGATCGTAGAGCGAGGATACGAACGCGGGCATGCTCGAGGCATGCCGCAACCCGCCGGAGATGCGAACAGAGGTGTTCCCCACGAGCGTCGCCGCGTGGCGGCCGCGCCCGAGCCCCCCCTCGATGCCCGCGGCGACGACTTCAGAGGTCGTGCACGCGGTCGTCGTCGCTTCCGGGGCTTCCGCGACGAGGGACCACGGGGCGGTCGACGCGAGAACGCCGGCGTCCGTCAGTCCCGCGTCGAACGCCCACACTCGACCAGTCGCGTCGGCCGTGCAGTCCGTAGCGTACTCGTTGAGTTCCAAGCCTAGGGCGTGACTGCCGAGGTGGAAGCCGCCTTGAATCATGAAAGAGTTACCGATGACCCACGCGACGCTTCCGAAACGCGCGGGCATGCTCGAGTCGTTCGTGCTCGAGTCGTACGCGTACAGAAGCGAGATGGACACCGTGATCACGCCGGAGGTCAGATCGATCTTTCCGAGGTAAACGTTGTACGCTTGTTGTTCCTGCGTCGTCGTGCTCGGGCCGAAGGCGGAGCTCACGCGACCGCCCGTGATGAGGAACGCGCCGACGATGGTGTCGGGACAGGACGAACACGCGTAATCGTCCCAAGCCGCGATCGCGGGGAACTCGAGCTTGTCTACGTCTTCGTCCGCCGTGTGCGTGTATTCGATCAACGTGGACGTGTCGTACACGGTGATCCGCGCCCCCGCTCCAGAGCCGAAATTGTAGGAAGGACCGCCGACGCCGACGATGTATCGATCTTGCACGGTCACCATCGCGCCGCTCGCGGAGCGTTTCGTGACGATGCTCCCGGCGCTATCCGTCCTCGTCGTTAACCCATCCGAATCGAGCGAGTCCACGAGCGTCCAGATCAGGTTCGGGCGCAAGATCTCTTGCGCGTGGAGCATAAACTTGAAATACGTCGTGATGTGGTCCTGCCTGTTTGTCTCGTCGCAGGACCCAGGCGCGGTGGAGCACCCGGAGAAGATGGACAGGACGTGATTCCCCGAGGACCCGGTCGAGGCTTCGAGATGATACCCGGGCGTCCACCCGCTGACGGCGTCGGGCCCGTTGTATACGCCGGTCGTCACGCGTTCGTCCACGACGGTGACGCCGTCGCTCAGCGTGTACGCTTTGATCGCGACGCCGTACGTCAACCAATCGGCTTCCGTTTGAAAGTACATCTTCGTCAGCGACTGCGGGCCGATCCATACGAAGCGACGTCGGGGTGGAGTTGAAAGGCGTCAGAAGCGGAGTTGAAAGGCGTCGCGGGCGGGAGTTTAAAGCGAGGCGTGGGAGGAGAGAAACGCCGGGAAAATTCCTTAAGGATCGGCGTTCACCACGCCGACGCGGTCGTATGGGGACCAGTGTACAGAACGCGCCTGCGTATCCTCGTCCGGGAGGGGGTCGTACAGGTCGTAGACGCCGTTTTCAACGGTCACGTCCCCGTCGTTGCTCCTCCGCAGGATGACCTGCATCGTGCTCGCGGTCTCGTGCACGTACACGCGATGGGACGCCATGATCATGTACGGGTTCACGATCGTCGCCTCGTCCGGTCCGACGTAGTACGTCGCCGCCTGCGCGATGGCTTTGTAGTCGCTACCGACGCCCGCGCGCGTGTGCGTGAAGGACGCGACGTATCGGTACGTCCCCCAGCACGTGCACGACGCGGCGCAGCTCGTCTGCCCGCCCAGCGTGAGGGCGAGGTAGTCCGGTATGGATGCGTACGTCGTGTCCCAGAACCCGGAGACGCTCGTGTCCATGACGCGGTAGCTGACCGTGGAGTAGTCGAAGGAGGTGGAGGCGCACCCGTTGTAGATTGACGAAGCCGTGGAGCCGCTCGTGTCCGAAACCGGCTTGAGCGCGATGTAGTACGTCTTCCCCGTGGGGACGTTCAGCGACCACGATACCTGCGCGCGCGGGATGAAGACGGTCGGCGGAGGTCAGGAGGTGACGATCGACGACGAGGCGAGACGACAGACATTTGGGCGATTAAAAAAAGATCTCGAGGTGAAGAATTGTCGTAATTAATCGTGCACGTTCGTAATCGTCCTTCGCCGAGAGGCTGCCGAACGCGATTCGATCCGCGCGCGCGCACCTTCGTGACTTTCGTGTTCGTGTTCACGATCTCGAGGTTGCTGTTTTGCACCACGTTCCCCTCCTGGGTGATGATCGCCGCGTGCCAGACGTCATTCTCCAAGTAGAGCATTTTCAGCTCGACGAGGAGGTAATCGACGCCCGTGTCGTCGAATGTGTAGTGCGAGGTCGCGGCCGCGCCCGTCGCGAGCGACGCGAGCGTCGCGAGGAGGAGAAAGAACGCGGCGGCGACGCGCGAGCGCGTCGCACGGAGGGCGGGCGGACCCATGGCGGCGCGCGGTCGCGTGCGATCTCGTCCGCGGGGACGGTGCGCGCCGCGGCGCGTTGTGATTGTTGATCGCACCAGGGGCCGCGTCCTTTCAGGGGGGGCGCGGGGGGTGTTTCGTACTTTTCGTACACAGAAATGAACCCAGAATTACACGTACAACGTACAGTAAACCCTGAAAGAAACCGCGCACGATCTCTCGCTCGCGCGTTCACTCGAAGGGCATGGAGGAGGCTTTCACCGGTTCAGGGCGATTCCATATCGGTCAGTTGAAAGGCGACGCGATCAAATATTGAAACCGAGCGGTGGGATATTTCCACTGGCAGCGTGCGCCCGAGCCGAGCTCCCCCCTTCACTTCACACCCTCTCGCGTCGTGCACGCGGCGGCGGGCCTCCGAGCCCGCCGTCGCCGCCGCGCTCCCCTCCCCCCCGCGCGCGCGCGACGCCACGACGCGAAGGTCGCGGCCGCGATGACGCGAGCGCGGACGACCGCGCGCGCGCGCCTCTTCCCGTGGAGCACGAGAGGCGACGTCGCGTCGTCGTCGTCGTCGTCGTCGTCGCCGTCCGAGGAGCGCCGCGACGACGACGACGACGAGTGGAGGCACGACCGAGCCGCGCAACGCGCGGCGTCGACGCTCGCGACGCACCTCTCCCTGCGCTCGCCGTCGCACGTCCGCGACGTCCTCGCGGCCATGGTCCTCAGCGAGTGCGCGTACAAGCGCCCCTCTCTCGAGGTGCGCGGCAAGGCGGCCGAGATCCAGTCGCATCTTCCGCGCGGCGTCGCGCGCGTCCGCGCCGTGTCCGCGTCTGTGGACAAGCGCGCGAAGCACCGGTACCTCGTCGCGGACTCCGAACACGCGGTGTACGTCGCGTTCATGGGCACGGCGGACGCGCGGGACCTCCTCGCGGACGCGGCGTACCTCCAGACGCCGCTGCGACGCGCGCTGGACGGCGGAAAAGTTGGCACCCGCCCTGGAGATGGAGTTGGCACCCGCGCGCGTGAGACTGGTCCCCATAGGCACCTCCAGCGCGCGCTCGTGCACCGCGGGTTCGCCGCGCGCGCGATCGCGACGCGCGACGCGATGCGCGCGCTGTGGCGCGCCGCGCGGAGGGAGAAGAAGCGGCTGGTGCTCTGCGGGCACAGCCTCGGCGGCGCGGTGGCGTCGCTCTCAGGCGCGTATTCCTTACACTGGTCCCCGTACGGCCGCGTTGGCGTGGTGAACGCCGATCCTTAAGGACTTTTGCCGGCGTCTCTCTCCGCCCACCCCACGGTTTCAATACCCGCCCTCGACGCCTTTCAACTCCGCTTCTGACGCCTTTGAACTCCACCCCGACGTCGCTTTGTATGGACAATTACCCTCAGCGATCGCGCTGCTCGAAGATCTAAATCTCGATGCCGCGCGCGACCCGCGCTTCGCGCCCTCGCCGGGGTCGACGCTGCGGTGCGTCGCGTTCGCGTCGCCGCCGGTCGGAAACGGCGCGTGCGCGGAGTACGTGCGCGCGCGGGGGTGGACGCGCGTCTTCACGAACGTGTGCGCGCCCGAGGATACCGTCCCGAGGCTGTTATTCGCGACGAGAACGGCGGCGGCGGCGGCGGCGGCGGCGGCGGCAGCGGGCGCGTCGCCCCCCCCGGCGCTCGAGGTCGGACCGGACGCGCCGCGGTCGCCCCCGCGCGGCGGTAGCGGCGGCGCGCGCGGCGACGACGCGAACCCGCTGCGAAGGCTGTCGAGGCTCGTGCCGCTGACGCGGCAGCGGACGCGACCGCCGGCGCCGGCGGCGTTCGAAGAGGACGCGTCGACGAGCGCCGACGCGTCTTCGTCGTCTCCTCCTCCGCCGCCGCCGCCGCGAGGACGCGCGGCGGCGATCGCGGCCGCGGCTCGCGCCGCGGGACGCGCGATGCGACCGGAGTACGTCCACCTCGGTCCGACGCACTGGCTGTCGGAAGGCGGGTACGCGCGCGTCTCCGGCGACGACGGCAGCGACGACGGCGGCAGCGGCGGCGGGACGTCGTCCGACCCCGCCGCTTACGACGACGCCGACGGCCGCCTCGCGAAAATGCGGCAGTCGCTGCTTCAGCACACGATGCGGATGTACCGCGCGCGGACGCTCGAGCTGTGCGCGCGCGTCGGCGTCCTCGACCGGTCCGCGGACGACGACGACGACGACGACGACGCCACGCGCGATTCGACGACGACGACGCCGCCGCCGCCGCTCCCGGACGCGTCGGCGATCGCACCCGGGCCTCGCCCTCTCGCCGCGGTCGCGGTCGTCACGCCGGCGGCGGTCAAGCACGCCGCCGCGGGGCTCGCGGTCGCGATCGACGGGCTCGATTTGAACCTGACGATCGCGACCGCGACCGGCGGCGGCGTCTCCGCGGAGGCGAAGGGCTGGCCGTGCGTCTGCGTCGTCGACGCCGCGGCGTCGACCGACCGACGTCTCTTCGCGCGCGCGCGCGCGCCCGTGTTCAACGGCCGGACGCTGCCCGCGACCGCGGACGTCGGCGGCGGAAGCGTGAGAGGGTGGACGCCGCTGACGATCGCGTGCGAGGGCGACTTCGGCGACGCGAAGGTTGTCGCGCGCGTGGCGCGGCGACGCGTGCGCGTCGTCGCGGGCGGCGACGAAATGAAACGCGGCGCGCGGAGTTTCGACGCCGCGCGTTCGCTCGCCGGAGCGCTCGCCGCGCTCGAAGGTCACGGCGGCGGCGGCGGAGTGCGAGAGGTAGAAGAGACTGAAGACGGCGTCGTTCACGATGGAGGGTGGGTGTCGTACGTCGCCGCGAGAGGCGGCGGCGGCGGCGGCGGCGATGGCGACGATAACGCCCCCAGGGCGGGCGTTTTAACTTCGCTTCGGGACGCGCTGAGACGCGCGCTCGAGTGGGCGACCTCGCGCGCGGCGCGCGGCGGCGCGCGTCGTCGACCGCCGCGCGCGACGCGGTCGGGGTCCACGCCGGGCGTCGTGACGGTGCGCGTGTACTCGCTGCTCGCGCCCCCTGACGACGACGACGACGACGACGAAGCGGCCGACGGCGAAGAGCCGGTCGCGCACGCGCGAGCGTTCGTGCATCGTGGCGCGGCGCCGTCGTCCGCGGACTGGTGGCGCGCGGCGGGGGTCATCGCGCGCGCTAGGAAGGATCACGGCGCGCGCGCGATGATGATCCCCGCGTCCGCGCTCGGGATGGAGGCGGCGGCGGCGGACGACGACGCGAGGCATGCGGGCGGGGAATCGCCCGCGCCCGCGCCGCCGCCGCCGCTGCCGCCGCCGCCGCCGCCGTCGGGGATCGGCGCGACGCTCTTCGCCGCGCGCGACGTCGCGGCGGCGCGCGCGGTCGTCATCGACGCGCTGCTCGCGACCGAACCCGAGGCGTTGCGCGCCGCTCTGGACGCGCAGTCAGCGCGCGTGCGCGCGACGCCGCGGCCAGTCGATCGACGGCGCCGTTCTAGTAGGTTTTAGATTTTTAGAGAACGCGTCGAGTCGCGCGTGATGATTAGCGAGTGCGTGTACTGTACTGTATGTATCCCGCGACTTTGCGGGTGCGATATGATTACAAAACGTGAAGCAAATATCGTATTATGTGGCAGGCCTCCGCGACGACTCCAGTCCTCTACCATGCGCGCGCGCGTATTAATCAAACAAAATCAGGGTGAGCAATTGCGGTCGTCATCAATTGCGTGCGGTCGCCCGCGAACGAGCGAGTGCATCGAGATGTCCGTCGCGAGTATCTCAGCGGAATGGACGTCATCCTCGTCGGTTCGTTCGCGACCCCGCGTGCGAAATCCAAAGGTTTTTCTTACTCCTCGTCTCCTCGACGTCAAACAGAAATTTTTCATCCTCCCCGACGCCTCCCTAAAGCGAGTGGCTCAGGAGGTGGTCGTACTGTCGCGCGATGAGCGCGAGCTTCGCGAACAACACGCGGTCGTCCTCGAGCATCGTGGGGAGGTCTTGCTTCCCCGTCACGAGGTCTTTCAGCTGCGCCGCGCCGAGGACGGTGCGCAACACGCTTCCGCCGGGAATGTCCACGGGCTGGCCCGTGAGGCACCGCTGCGACGCGACTCTCCGCTCCGCCATCGTGCTCTCCGGCGCGAGAAACTCGGAGATGTCCGCGGTCATGAGCGCGTACACTTTCTTCAGCTTCGCGGTGGACATGTACTCGGAGCCGGAATCCGAACCGCCGCCGCTGTTACGAATGCGAACCGACACGATCGTGTTCACGCCGCCGAGCTGCCAGTCGCCGCCGTAATCCACCGCGGGCACGTACTCGAGGTGCGGCTCAAACTCCGTCGCGAGCGAGCGCGTCGCGGTGACCCACGACCGCACCGTCGCCTCGGTGTTCTCCATCCCGCCGTGCATCGCGGTCGCCGCCTCGAGCGTCTCCATCTCGTGCAGCCCCGCGGCCCACCGAAGCAACACGCCGACGTTGCAAAACCCGGGGGGCATCGCGTCGTGCAGCTTCGGAAGCACGTCGCCGATGTCGTGGTGCGTGAGGTAGCTCGCGCACGCCTCCGCCATCGCGGCGACCGTCGCGGGCGGCTCAGCCTCGAGCAGCTCGTTCATGCGCTCGATGGACGCGTGCGGGAAGAAGACGCCGGAGCCGAACGACGGCCCGCCGAAGAACTTCGACGACGTCATCAACACCGGACCGCCCGCGACGGGATCAGCCAACCAACGCGGGACGAGCGTCGGGTTGTGCCGCATCTGGCACGCGTCCAGCACGGACACGACGCGGTCGCCGTACTCCGCGCGCAGGAGCGACGCGACGTCCGGCGAGGGGAGCCGCAGGCCCGTCTTGGAACCGGCGACGGTGTGCAGGACCACAACCGCGCACGGATCCGCCGCGAGCGCTTTCCGGGCTTCGTCAATCACGAACGCGTCGTAGTCGTCGCGCGCGGCGCCCGTGGGGTCGTCCGCGCCGCGCGCGACGAGCTCCACCGCGCGCATCTCCGCGAGGTCGTGCAGCGCGGGGAGCTCCTGGCCCATCTCCACGCGGTTGCCGCCGAGCGGGCACGACCGCGAGAAGAACCGGCCCATGGACGCCTCCGTCGTGCCCGAGCCGACTTCGCCGGCGCACGCGACGAGCGAGACGACGTTCCCGCGCGTCGCGTGCTCGCCCCGAAACGCCTCCGGACGAGACGTTTCATCCGAGCTCTCGCGCGCGAGCGCGCGAGACTCGAGCACCGCCTGCAGCAGCGGCATCGTCTCCGCGTCTGTGCCGGACGGATGCAGAATCATCCGACCCGCGCCGCCGCAGAAGAGCTTCTCGACGCGCGCGCGCACCTCGTCCACGAGCTCCACGTCCGCGTGCTCCTCGCCGTCCCACATCCGCGTCAGCATCTCGCGCGACGCCTCGAGCGCGCCGGGCGTGGGCGACGACGACGTGCACGTGCCGCGGTGAAGCAAGTCCGCCTCCCGCGCGTGCATGCCCGTGAAATATTTGTTGAGGCGCGCCTTGCCGAAAAACGTCGAGCGATCGTCGGAGCCCTTCTCCATGAGGCACACCACGGACTCGTCGATTATCTGCGACTCGAGCCCGCGGACGACGGCGTCGAGGCGCTCGACGCGCAGCTCCGCGGGCGTGGCCGCGCGCGAGAGCACCGCGTCCTCGTCCGGGGTCTCGAGGAACGGCAGCGGGAACTGAGGGTCGTTCCATACGAGCGAACGTCGGGGTGGAGTTGAAAGGCGTCAGAAGCAGAGTTGTGAGGCGTCGAGGGCGGGAGTTGAAAGCGAGGTGTGGGCGGAGAGAGACGACGGCGAAAGTCCTTAAGGAACGGCGTTCACCCCGCCGACGCGGTCGTATGGGGACCAGTGTATAGAACGCACCTGAATCTCCGCGACGGACATGCCGCACTCCGAGTCCGGGACGAGCGACATGAGGCCCTCGTCGCACAGCGGACCGCACGTGTCGCAGACGGCGGACGTGACGCGCTGGACGTCGTCCAGGCCTTCCATCCGCGGCGATCCCATCAGGAATCGAACCGCGTACCTCCCGTTGCCGAGGTCGCGCTGCGAGTACAGACGGAAGTGCATCGACGCGAGGAGCATCTCTTTGAAGACGACGGCTTGCGCCAAGCCGTCGCCGAGCGCCGCGTCCTCCGCCACCTCCACCTCCTCCGCGGGGGCCCACAAGTCGGGGGAGATCTCGATGAGGTCGCGGAGGCGCGTGACGCGCATGGAGTGGCGGACGCGGCGGCGGCGGTCGATCGCGGGCGAGGAGGAGCCGGAGCCCGCGCCCGCGCGCTTCTCGGAGGATCTCGGAGGATCGTTCTTCGACCCCGACGCCGCGGCGTGGATGACGACGACGCGGCGGTTTCTTCCGACCGATCGAAACGCCCTCGTCGAGGGGGTTAACGACGACGTCGTCGTCGTCATCGCGACGGCGGGCATCGCGCAGTGGTGGTGGTGGTCGTCGTCGTCGTAGTGGTAGTCTTCACTGGCGCGCTCCGAGAGTGACGCCTTTCTTTCAACGGGAGAGATCGGTCGATCGCCGACGACGGATGAATTATTTTATTCTCGGGAGGGACAGGCGGCCGCCTCTGTCCTCCGTGTGCGCTGGTCCTGTGACCAGGACGAGATGCGCGGCGATTCCGCGCGTCACACTCGTTCCGAGCGAACGAGTGCGCTGCGAGACGGAGGACGAGGACGGCGAGAGGGAGGGACGGACGGTGGTCAGTCAGCACGTAATCAATCGTCGTCGTCTAACGGAAGAGCCGAGCCACCACTTGGCACAAAAAAATAAACGCGTCCACGCCGCGACGCGGACGTCGCCGGGTTCCGACGCCGTCGAGACGCGCGCGACGGCGAAAACGCGCGCGACGACGCCCGGGGGCACGCGTCGAGGTCTCCCCGCGGTCGACGCCGCCGGAGACGCGCGAATCGCGCCTCCGCGGGGACCGATCCCGCGACCCTAATCGATTTCGCACGGCGACTTCCTCCCCCCGGACGCCAGTGGGGACGCGGACACGGGAATATAATCATCACGCCGCAATTGATCCGGGAAAACGACCGCGCGGGCGTCGCGCGATCGCGACGGCGCGAAAAAAAAACGTCGGGGGTTCGCGCGCACCTCACGAGAGACAATTCTCGCGTCGCGTGCGCTCGCGGAAGCGCGCGCGGGTGTGCGCGACCGGGACGCGCGCGAGACGAGACGGCCGAAGAGTGCGCTGACGAGGCGAATAACCGACCCAGGCGTGCGTTCCAAAAATTGTTAACATCGCACGGCGCAGTTAGTCACGCGAGAAACGTACGTACTACGCGGACCCGTAACCTGACGCGCGGATATTTCCTCGGCACCCCAAAATCACGGCGCGACGGGTAGCGCGTGGCATTTAGTCTGAAAAGTTTTGGCCAGGTCATCATCACCGCGCGCGTTGACCGATTCGTTCAGCTCTGAAACCAAACGCGCGCTCGTTCGTTCAAAGGGTCACACCTCCTGCTTCCCGCGCCCGTACCTCGCGCCGTTCTCCCGCGTCCACGCCGCGCGCGCTCCGCGCGCCGCGCCCCCGAACGCGCCCCGAGGCCGTCCGCGCCCTCGCGCCCACCTCCACAGCGCCGCGGCGTCGCGAGCGCGCGCGCGAACCCTACGGGCGAACAGTCTGCGGTCCGGCGCCGCCGCGCGAAACGCGTCGCCGACGGTGGCCTCCCCGGCGAGCGCGCGCGTCAGCGCCACGCGCACGCGCCACCAGTTCACGCACCCGCCGCCGAGGAAGAGGAGGAGGAGGAGGAGGAGGCCGCCGACGACGATACTGTCGTACAAACTGTCGGACCATGCGCTCGTACACGTGTCGTACGTCGGACACGCGTGTCGCGTCCGCCACTCCAACAAATATTCGCACATGCGGTCCTCTCGCACGTGCACGCGGCGCATCAGCGACATCAAGCTCGCGGGGTCGCGCACGCCGGCGTCGCGCTCGTCGCAGAGCATGCGCATCGTGAGCGTGCGCGGCGTCGGGACCCACGTCACGATGGGATCGCCGCCGGGGTCGGAACCGACGGGCGGAGGGGACTCGACCCTTCGCAGGCAGTCGTCGCCGCCGCCGTATCGGACGCTCAGGGTCGTTCCATACAAAGCGATGGCGGGGTGGAGTTGAAAGGCGTCAGGTGGAGTTGAAAGGCGTCGAGGGCGGGCGTTGAAAGCGGGGGGTGGGCGGAGAGATGCGCCGGGAAAAGTCCTTAAGGATCGGCGTTCACCGCGCCAACGCGGTCGTATGGGGACCAGTGTAAGATAGAACGCACCTCACTCCCGTCTCCGGCGACGACGCGTCGATCAGCGCGAACGTGACGTTCCGCAGGGACCCGAGCGCGTGGCACTCCGCCGGCTTCTTCTTGTGCTTTTTCGTCTTCGGTTTGCGGCCGAAATCTTCGTCGACGACGTCGTGGAGGAGGGTGTCGCCGCGGCGGCGGCGGCCGCGTCTTCGTCTGTTTCTTTTGTCTCTCTTCGCTCTCGTCCCGCCGCCGCCGCCGTCGTCGTCGCCGTCGTCGTCGCCGCCGCCGTCGCCGTCGCCGTCGCCGGGATGGACGACGACCTGATACGCCGGCGCGCCGGGCTTCCCCGCGCACTCCCGCGGCGGCGACGATACCGCCTGGCAGACGTTGATCCAGTAGTCGTACTCGTCCTTCGCCTCCGCGTCGGCGTCGTCGTCGTCGTCGTCGTCGTCGCCTTCGTCTCGTTTCTCCTCCGCGTCGCTCTCGTCCTCGCGCGGCAGCCTCCCGCGCTCGCGCTCCCTCGCGCGCGCGTGCACGGAGTCCTCCGCGCCCTGGACGTCGTGGAACATGTACGAGCTCCCGTACGGCAGCTTCAGCGGCGAGAGGTCGAACGACGCGCGCGTCGCGGCGTCGCGGAACGCGCACGGCGCGCCGTGCCGGTCGCCGTCCGCGCCAGCCTCGACGACGCCGCCGCCGAAGCGCTCGCGCAGGGCGTGATAGTCCAGCGCTCGCATGCGCTCGACCGCGCGTCGCCACTCTCGCGCGGGACCCCCGCGCTCGCGCGGCGGCGGCGTCGGGCGCGAGGACGACGACGACGCCGTCGCGACGCCGATCGGCCCGAGGAGCAGAGCGAGGACGAGGAGGACGCGCATGGTGGGGGTGGCGACGCGCTCGCGCGCGCGCGCGCTCTCTCTCGCCACGCGAACAACGAACGTCTGGTCGTGAAAAAAACAGCGGAGAGAGAAGGAAAAAATTCGAACGTCACCTTTCACTTCCGCGCGCGCCCGCCGCCGCCCCCCGCCCAGATCCGAGCCATGCAAACGCGCTCGAGCACCGGTTTCGACGCGATCCCCGAGAACGTCGCCGCCGTCGTGTTCTCGCACCTCGGGGACGATCCGCGAGACCGCGTCCGCCTCGCCGCTGTGAGCAAGGTGTGGAGGGACGCGGAGAAGTCTGACGCGTCGTTGCCTGGGGGCTCTCCCAGTGCTTTGTTCGAGCTCGGCGAAGGGCTTTACGCCGCGTATGAGTACAAGCGTGCGATCTACTGGTGGCGCAGGGCGACTGGAGACGCCGTCGCCATGTACTGGATCGGAGTCTGTTACAGCTGTGGGTTCGGCGTGAAGGAAGACAAGACGAAGGCGGTCGAGTGGTGGGAAAGAGCGTCCGGGTGTGGTTTTGCATACGCGACCTACCGCCTCGCGTGGTGCCACGAGAACGGCTGCGGCGTGGAGAAAAATGAAACGAAGGCGATCGAGCTGTACCTCAAATCGGTCGAGTTGGGTGAAAAAGGGGCCGCGTATGAGCTCGGGATCATCTACCACTGCGGCTGGTGCGGCGTGGCGGTGAACAAAACGGAGGCGTTGAAGTGGTACCGCGTCGCGGTGGAGCTCGGCAGCACCTACGCGCAACAGAAGCTGGAAGAACTCGAGGCCGAGCTCGCGGCGGAGACGGCGGCGTGAACGAACAAACGCGCGCACACGATGTAGAAACTCTGACCTGTGCATCACGAATACGTCGCTCCCGCGCGCGCGTCGTGCGGTGCCCCCTTGAAATGTCACGGCGAGAGAGCTCGCGGGCGGGGCCACGACAAGACTACCGGAAGTACTTCCGTACTTCCGTACGAGTCGCGCGCGGACTGGACCTCACATACGGTAGGCGTGGTCTTGTTATTACGTACAGTACACACACGACGCGTTCCCCGCTGTATCTTTACACGCGAAGGTATTATTTCTTCCCCGCCAAGACTTTCGTGAGACGCTTAGCGAGCACCGCCTTGAGCCCGTTCGTGGGCTCGCCGCGCTTCTCGAGCTCCGCTCTCAACTCCGCGACTTTCAGCTTCGAGACGTCGATCGCGGGCTCCGCCTCGGGCGCCGCGGCGGATTCGTCGGGTTTGGATTTCTTCGACGGCCGCGCCGGCGACGCGGCGACGGCGATCGCGGCGAACGGATCCGCGTCCGCGTCCACGTTCGCGTCCGCGTTTGCGTTCGCGTCCTCGGGCGCGTCGCGCTTCTCCCCGCGCGGCGACGCCGGCGGCGGCGTCTGCTCCTTCGGCGGCTCTGGCACTGGCTCTGGTTGTTCCATCTCCTTCTCCGGCGGCGGCGTCTGCTCCTTCGGTTTTGGTTCTTCCTTCTCCGGCTCCGGCGACGGTGCCTTCTCCGCGGGCGCCGGCGCCGCGGGGGCTTCAGCCGCCGCCTCGGGGGCTTCAGCCGCCGCCGCGGGGGCTTCAGCCGCCGCCGCGGGGGTTTCAGCCGCCGCCGCGGGGGCTTCAGCCGCCGCCGGCGCCTTCTCCTCCTCCTCCTCCGCGCGCCGTCGTCGCTCCTCGTCCTGCTTCCGCTTCCGCTCCTCCAGCTGCCTCCTCCTCTCCTCCGGCACGTGCACCTTGTACTTGATCTCCAACGCGTCCGAGCTCTCCGTCCGCACCGTCATCGTCTTCGTCGTGAGCTTCTCGTCGCCCGTCTCCGGCCCCGCCGCCGCCTCGCGCGCCTTCTTCTCCGCGATGATCTCTTCGAACGACTTCACCGGCGGCGACGGCTTCGCGTTCGCCGCCGCCGCCGCCGCCGCGCCCGCGCCCGGAGGAGCGTCGATCGGCGGCGTCTTCTCTTTCAGCGGCGCGAGGAGCGACGAGGGGTCGCCGCCGGCTTCTTTGATCGCCGCCGCGCGCGCGGCCGCGGCCGCGAGGAACCGCGCGTTCGCGTCCAACACCGTCGTCTCGTTCTTCGGGGGCGGCGGCTTCTTCTTCTCCTCGTCCGCGTCCTTTATTTCCTCCCCCCCGGCGGCGTCTTTCTTCTTCGCCCTCGGCGACGCCGCCTCGCGGTCCCGCCGCGCCGCCTCCTGCTCCTCCTTCACCGCGTCCGCGGCCTCTCTCGCCGCGATGTTCACCGCGGCGATCGTCGGCGGCGCGGCCGCGGCGATCTCCGCGGCGGCGGCGGCGCGCGCGGCGGCTTCGACGCGCGCGGCTTCGGCGCGAGCGATCTGTTTCGCGCGCCGCGCCTCGAGCTGCGCTCTGCGGGTCGAGGGGGGGTCCGCGCGAAGCGACGCGACGACGTCGGGGTGGAGTTCAGGGGTGCGTCAGCAGTGGAGTCGTGAGGCGTCGCATGGGTCGGGGATTGAAAGTGAGGGGCGGGCGGAGAGAGAGGACGGCAAAAGTCCTTAAGGAACGGCGTTCACCACGCGAACGCGGTCGTATGGGAACCAGTGTGAACCAGGACGCGCCTGAGTTCCTCCATCTTGTCCGGCATCTTGACCACCTTCCCTTCCGCGCCGCCGCCGCCGCCGCCGCCGCTGCCCGCGGCGGCGTCCGCCTCGCGCTTCGCTCGTTTCTCCGCCATGATCTGCTCGAAGCTCTTGAGCTCCTCGGCGACGGGCGCCGGCTTCGTCGGCTTCGGAGCGGGCTTCGCGGATTCCCCCTCGCCGCGCGGAGGATTAATCGTCGTCGTCGTCCTCCCGCGCTCGTTATCCGCCCGCCCGCCGCCGCTTCCCTGGGACATCATCTCGCGCAGCTGCCGCTTCCTCGCCGCGAGCTGCTCGTCCGTGAGCGCCGCGAAGTTCGGCGGCGGGCGCGGCGCGGTCGACGGTCCCGACGGTCCCGACGCGAGGGCGCGCGCTTTCTCCTTCTCCTTCTCTGCGCGCTTCTTCGCCTTCCTTTTTTCCCGCGCGGCCCTCGCGCTGCTGCTGCTGCTGCTGCTGCTGCTGCTGCTGCTGCTGCTCGACGAGGAGGAGGAGGAGGAGGAGGAGGAGGACGACGACGACGATGAAGACGCCTCCTTTTTCTTCTTCTTCGACTTTGCCATCCACCGCGGTGGCGTCTGCCGCGCGCGACGAAGTGGCGATAGCGATAATTCGACCAATTGTTGTCGGATGCCAAGTCAGCTAAAATTCGAAGACGCCCTTTAAAAAATTCCGCGCCGATGAAAGTTATTCTTTCAATTTGTTTCGCGCTTTCACGGCGGCCTATCAATTTTTTCTGTTGACCCCAGTCCCTATCCCCGTGCTCCCCCTACCCGTGCTGCTCGAGTACGAACTGGAACAGAACCTGACGCTGACGAGGAAAAAGCTTCAAGTCTTTCGCGCGCGCCCGCCGCCGCCCCCCGCCCAGATCCGAGCCATGCGGACGCGCTCGAGCACCGGTTTCGACGCGATCCCTGGGAACGTCGCCGCCGTCGTGTTCTCGCACCTCGGGGACGACCCGACGGATCGCGTCCGCCTCGCCGCGGTGAGCAAGGTGTGGAGGGACGCGGAGAAGTCTGACGCGTCGTTGCCCGGGGGCTCTCCGAGGGCGTTGTTCGAGCTCGGTCGAGGGATTTTCAACGCCTTCCATTGGAAGCGTGCGGTCTACTGGTGGCACAGGGCGACTGGAGACGCCGACGCCATGTGCTGGATCGGATACTGTTACCACTATGGGTACGGCGTGAAGGAAGACTACACGAAGGCGGTCGAGTGGTGGGAAAGAGCGTCCGGGTGCGGGCACGCCAGCGCGACCACCTACCTCGCGATGTGCTACGACACCGGCCATGGAGTGGAGGAAAGTGAAACGAAGACGCGCGAGCTGTACCTCAAAGCGGCCGAGTTGGGCTGCAAAGATGCCGCGTATGAGCTCGGGATCATCTACTACCACGGCGCGTGCGGCGTGGCGGTGAACAAAACGGAGGCGCTGAAGTGGTGGCGCGTCGCGGTGGAGCTCGGCGACACCTTCGTGCAAGGCGCTGTGACCAAACTCGAGGCCGAGCTCGCGGCGGCGTGAGCGAACGAAGCAGACCGTACGTTGAACCGACGCGAGCGCGCGAGCGAGCGCGACGTGCGAGCGTGAAAACAAAACGAACAGAGCGTCTGAGAGGAAGAGCGCGACCGCGCGCGAACGAGACGACGCGCGCGCCGGCCGCGACGGATGAAAACGAAGACGAGACGCGCCCCGCGTGTTACAGTAGTTAAAAGTCGCTGCATCGCCCGCCGCGCTCCCAGTCCCCGAACCGCGTCGGCTCTAACCCCCGCGGCCCGTTCACCTCCTCCACGCCGTCCTTCATCCCCCCCGCGGTCGCCGTCGCCGTCGCCGTCGCGTCGTCGTCCGACCCGCCGTCCCCGCGGTTTGGATGGTGGCCACCTTGGGGTCGGGTCGTGGAGTTGAAAGGCGTCAGAAGCGGAGTTGAAAGGCGTCGAGGTGTGTCGGGATTGTGAGCGAGGGACCCTGGGCGGAGAGAGACGAACGCCGGGAAGTAAAGTCCTTAAGGATCGGCGTTCACCGCGCGAACGCGGTCGTATGGGGACCAGTGTGAATCAATCAGAACGCACCTTGGCCGCGTCGTCTCTCCTCGTCTCGTCGCATCGCCGCGCGCGCGGGCGTCTCCTCGGTGAGCCCGGCGACCTGCCGCTCGACCTTCGCCCTGAGCGGCGCGAGGAGGTCGTCCGGGTTGAACCCCTCGCCGCTCGCGTCGCGCTGGGACGACGACGACGACGACGACGACGCGAAGGTTCGCGTCGTCGACGTCGACGTCGAACACGTCGATGATCGAGGGCGCGGCGCGTCGCGGAAGGTTATGGGCGCGGCGGCGACGGCGACGCGCGAGGTGGACGGCGCGCGCGACGCGGTCGCGAGCGCGGTCAGCGCGCGGCGAGCGAGCGAGGCGCGAGCGGGCGTCGACATCGAGGCGCGCGCTCGCGAGTGACGTCGCGACGCGAGCGAGGAAGATCTGGACTGCGCTGGACAGTTTTCGACGTTCGCATGATGTCGTCATTCAGCTCGCCCTCGCCCTCTCCCTCCTCACTTTGACGCGCGCGGGCGAGAGGATGACCGTCGCGACCGCCGTCGCGAGGGTCGCGCCGCTCGCCGCGGCGGCCGCCTCGCGCGCGCTGTCCCTCGCGTCATCGTCCTCCTCCTCCTCGCGCCGCGTCGCCGCCGCCACCGCGCGCCTCCGGTCGTCGCCGTCGTCGCTTCCGAGACTCTTCTCGTCGTCGTCGCGTCGACGCGCGACGCCGCCGCCGCTCGCGTCGCGCCGCGTCGCGTCCACGACCGCCGCCGCCGCGATCGACGCGGAGGAGGCCGCGCGGAGGGACGACCTCGTCGCGGGGTGCGTCGAGTGCACGCTCCCGCTCGAGATCGATCGCGCCGCGTTCGTCGCGCGCGAGGCGCTCAAGGATCGCGGCGACTCCGACGCCTCCGACGCCGCCTCCGACGCGCCGCTCCACACGCGATGCCTCGTCGTCGGCGCGGAGACGGGGAAGCTCGCGAGCGCGCTGTTAGAGAACGGCGCGACGCACGTCCTCGTGATCGACGTCTCGCGCGCGATGCTCGACCGCGCCGCGGAGGCGTTCGACGAGTTGGGCGCGTCTGGCAACGCGCCGGGGGTGCGGTTTCTTCTCGCCGAGGTCGCCGGCGTGCCGCCGTATCAAGGCCCGTTCGACGTGATCGTCTTCAACGACACGCTCGCGCGGAGTCGCGACCCCGCGGACGCGATCCGGCGCGCGACGCTTCTGGGGCGCCCGGGGACGCGCGTCGTCGTGTCGTCGCGCACGCGTCCGGAGTACGACGAAGACGGCGACGAGATCGTCAACGACGCCGCCGACGCCGATCCCAGGGTGAACCTGTCCTCGCTCGTCGGCGACTTACCCCTCACCTCCGCGATCTCCGCGGCGTACGGGAAGCAGATGCGCGGGCTCGATTTCTTCGGCGTCGCGAGCGAGCGCGGCGCGACCGCCGCCGCGAGCGTGGAAGACCCGACCGGAGGGACCCTTCACGTATTCGAGATTCCGCCGGCGTTCGCGTTGCGTCGCGCGATTGAACTTCGCGCGCCCGTCGTGTACGGGTTCGGCCGAGGCAGCAAAAAGATGGGCGTCCCGACCGCGAACTTGGACCCGGACGTCCTCGAGGAAGAGCTCGGGAGCATGCGCAAGGGCGTGTATTTCGGGTACGCGAGGTTGCCCGCGGACGAGAAACACGCGGCGTGGACGAAGTGCGTCGTCAACGTCGGCTCGAGGTGGGTCCCGGGTTCATTTCCACACTGGTCCCCATACGACCGCGTCCGCGTCGTGAACGCCGTTCCTTGAGGACTTTATTTTCTCTCCCGGCGTGTGATTCTCTCCGCCGCGCGCCTCGACGCCTTTCAACTCCTCCGCCTGACGCCTTTCAACTCCACCCCGGGGGTCCCTTTCAACTTCGAAGGCCCACCTTCGCTGACGGCGACGGCGTCACCGTGGAGACGCACGCGTTAAGGGACTACGGGCGCGACTTTTACGGCGAGGACATGGAGGTCGTCGTCGTCGGGTACTTGCGGCCGGAGATGAAGTTCGACGGCATGGCGGCGCTGGTGAATCGCATCATGACGGACATCGGGCTGGCGAGGAACGCGTTGGACGATCCGGGGCACAGGAGACGCGCGGACGACGCGCACGGGTTCGCGGAGGAGCGGTGAGGCGAGGCGAGGCGAGGCGGGGGGATACGGAACGTCAAACGTCGCAACAAAGCGGAGCGTATAGTAGAGTAACGTGCGTGATGATGACGTTACAGAAATGAACAAAGTTTTTGTCGGAGAGAAAGCGACGGCGTCGCCGGTCGCTGCGCGGGAATGGCATCGAGAGAGCGCGCGTCCCGTGTGGCAAAACGGGCTTTACCGCGCTCTCCTTCACGTGTTCCCACGTCGCGCGCGTCGTTCGCGGTATACCGCAAACGACGCGCGCGAGCGCGACGCGACGCGCCGGTCGCCTTCATCTCCTCCATCCGTGTTTCACGGATCCACGATCACGATCAAATAGCGTTACTTACGCGTTCGCGAGGACATCGTTGATGAACGACCCGAGCTTGCCCTCCGGCCCGCCCTTGCCGTCGACGAGGTGGCTCCCCTCCGCCATCTTCGAGTACAGGAGCTCGTTCGTGTCCGTGCGCAGCACCTCGAACGCGCCCTTCCTCCACAGCGCGTTCTCGCCGCCCGGGATCGGCTTCTCGGCCTGGTTCTCGATCGCCCAACCTTTGCCGTTGGGCACGGTGGCGCGAAGCACCGAGTCGACGTTGTAAGTCCAGTCGAACTTCCCCGGGTGAGCCTCGTCCGCTTTAGAGATGAGCATCTTCACCCGAGGGAGGTAGTTTCACTTCTCGCAGTACTCGATGTGGATCGGGATGCCCGCGGTCGTCGTGACCGCGCGCGTCGCCTGTCGCGGTGTCGCGGGAGAGGACGGTGGACGTCGCGGCGGGGGGTGGGGTGGGGGAGGCGTCAGGAGGGCGCGAGGAAGGAAGGGAACGAAATCTATCATCTGTCGTCTCCCGACGCGTCGCGAGGGGTATCGCGTGCGTGTTTTTTTTCTCGATCGACCGATCGAGCGCGCGCGAGGGAACGAACGGGACGCGCCTTACGAGCGCGCGTGCGCGTGGAGAGCCTCGCCGAAGCGGGCGCGATGGCGACCCTCGCGGAGAGCGCCTGCATCGTTGACGTCGTCGACACCGTGCGGCGGACGCGAACAAGTGACGACCGATACCCTCTATCTCTGACTCTGCCTGCGTCAGCATCGTCGCCGGGAGCCAGGCTGGATGTGGGCAACCGGTGATGACACGCGCCACGCGCTAATGAATTTCGACGAAGAAATTCTTCCACTCGTCTCCGCGAATCTCAACATCCATCATTCAGTGTCGCTCGCGCGGCGGCGGGGCGTCGAGGCGCGCGCGATGCTCACGATCGCGAACGATAACTTCTACGTCGACGACGACGCGCTGAAAAACACGCCGTCGCGCGCGGATGGCGTCTCCGAGGACGTCGAGTTCGCGCAGCGCGCGCACGGATGCGAGCTCGTCCTCCGCGCGTCGATCCTCCTCAAGACGACGCAGTCCGTGGGATGCACCGCTCAGGTGCTCCTGCACCGGTTCTACACGAAGAAGTCGCTCGCGGTGTTCGACGTCGAGCGCGTCGCCATGGCGACGGTGTTCCTCGCGTGCAAGCTGGAGGAGAACAACCGGAAGCTGCGAGACGTCGTGAACGTGTTTCATCGAATGAAACAGAGACGCCGACGCCGCGACGACGCCGCCGCCGAAAACGCCGACGACGACGCGTCGCTCGACCACCTCGAGTACTTCTCGCAAAAGTACGAGGACGTCAAGCAGGACGTCATACGCGTCGAGAGGCACGTCCTCCGCGCGTTCGGGTTCTGCATCCACGTCGAGCACCCGCACAAGTTCGTGGTAAACTACGCGCGCATGATGGAACAGCCGAAAGAGTTGATGCGTCGCGCGTGGGCCTTCGCCAACGACTCGCTTCGCACGAACCTCTGCGTGCGGTTCAGAGCGGACGCGGTCGCCGTCGCGTGCGTGTTCCTCGCCGCGAGGACGCTCGGGATGCCGATGCCGCGGTACCCGCCGTGGCACGACGTCTTCGACGTGTCGGCGGAGGACGCGGAGGTGATGTCGGCGTCGATACTCGCGTTGTACGTCGCGTTTCCGGGCGGCGGCGGGGGGAGGACGGCGTACGAGCGGTTGGTGAAGCAGCCGCCGCCCGGGTCGTCGCCTCCGCCGCCGCCGCCGCCGCCGCCGCCGCCTCAGGCGCCGAAGAAGAGGGAGGAGGACGAGGGCGACGGCGGCGGCAGAGGACGGAAGCGGTCGAGGGAGCGCTCGAGGGAGAGGGAGAGGAGTCGCTCGAGAGACCGCGACCGGTCGCCTCGGCGCGAGCGCCGTCGGCGGTCGAGGGAGCGAGATCGGTCGAGGGAGCGGGAGCGGTCGAGGGACCGCGGGCGCGACCGGCGGCGGGACGACGGGAGGGGGGGGGGGAGGGACCGGAGCCGGGACAGGCGCGGGCGGCGGTACGAGTAGAGCGACGAACGTTTTGGCACAAAAAATCTTCAGAAAATCTTTGTCCTCAAAACCGATGATCTCTTCTTTTCGTTCGCGCGTCCTCACTGATCGCCGCGCGGGCACGCCACACAAGCGCGATGTAGTACCCCGTAGACATCTTCGTCGACGGCGTGAAAGACGCGTTCATATGTGGGATATGCACGGACGTCAAGAGGGACCCCACGAACGCGTGCGCGGAGGGGCATTCCTACTGCCACGGGTGCGTGCAGGAGGTGTGTAAGCGATCGCCGAGGTGCCCGGAGTGCCGCGCGCCCGTGAAGACGAGCAAGGATAAGACCGCGAGGAACATGATATCGGAGATGAAAGTGCGATGCCCGAACGAATGGCGCTCGCGCAATACCGCGAACTCCGCTGGAATAGTGCTCGGAAGAAGGCTTATTGAGCTGCCGATATCCAGAGGCAGCGGCAAAGCGATTCACAAAGGATTTTCTGCTGATGTGTGTGTGACGCCCCCCTCGTGGGGAGGACTAATTTCTTATGATGGAAACAAGAATGATCCCAACAGAGGTCTCGCTCCGTTAAACGCCGCGCCCGCGGGATCGAAGGAAACGACCAGCGGAGGCAAAGGTGGCAAAGGACGAAAGCGGAAGGCAGAAGCCCTCGAAGAGACGTGCGCGTGGACGGGCTCCGTGGACGACATTCAGAAACACGAAGAGAGATGCGGTTTCGTGAACGTGATTTGTCCAAACAGCTGTTGTTTACCTTCGACGAAATGGCAGCCGGAAGCATGCTACGTGATGATGCAGCGCCGGTTCGAGGAGGCGCACTTATCGGTGTGCCCGCGCCGAAAGTTACCGTGCGAACACTGCCATAAAAATATTGAGTTTGAGGAAATGCGCCGACACGTGCAACTGTGCCCGGCGAAACCGATGAAGTGCGAGAAGTGCAATGAGGTGATGAGATCAGGTCAGATTCCATCGCACTTGAGCACGACGTGCCCTAAGGTCGCGGTGAAGTGCCCGGTATTGGGATGCCCAGAGGTGCATCCCCGGGAGAAGCTGAACGAGCACATGACTGACTCTATGGTGCAACACGCGCAGATCACGGCGGACAGGATGAAGATCGTGGAGGATAGGATGAAGGAGCAGCTCCAGAAGATCGAGCATCTGACCAGAGAAAACCACGGCATGAGACAGCAGATCAACCAGCACGATGGCAAGATCAACCAGCACGATGCCACGCATCTCGCGCTTGCCCGTGCCATCGGTGTTGCAATAGGTGAAAGGATTAGTGAAGATATGTGAAATGAAACTCTAACGTAATAACCAGTCGCGTCGAAACACGACCCGCTCTCGACGACCCGACCTCCTCCCTCCGCGTCCTCGCCGCTCACTTCTTCACGGTCAGCAAGTCCGCGAGCTTGGACGTGTAGTGATCCGGATGAATCGAGTTACTCTCGCTCTGAAGCTCCGTCTCGCTCGTCACCCCGGACAGCACGAGCAGCGTCCGCAAGCCGCCGTCGATCCCGAACATGATGTCCGTGTCCAATCGATCGCCGACCATGCAAATCTGATTCTTCTTGATGCCAAACTTATTCGCGATGTAGTCCAGCATGAACGGCGCGGGCTTCCCGACGACGAACGGCTCGCGCTTCGTGCTACCCTTGATCGCGCCGACCATGCTGCCGTTCCCCGCCCACTCCTGCGCGTCCGTGAGATGCGTCACCGCGTCCATGTTGGTCGCGATGAACTTGCATCCCGGGTTTTCGCGAATGCACAACGTCGCGTACTGAATCTTGTAGTAGTTGACGTTCCGGTCGAACCCGACGATCACCGCGGCGACGTCCGGGTCGTGCTCCATGAGCTGTCCGGACGCGAGCGTCACCTTCTTGTCGCCGTCGCTCTCGCCGCCGAGGTGCTGGATGCCGACGCCGTCGAGCTCCTCTGAGGGTCGACGGTCGTTCCATCATTCGAAGCGACGTCGGGGTGGAGTTCAAAGGCGTCAGATGGAGTCGAAAGGCGTCGCGGTGTGTCGCGCGGGATTGAACGCGAAGGGCGGGCGGAGAGAAACGCGCGCCGGGAAATGAAAGTCCTTAAGGATCGGCGTTCACCACGCCGACGCGGTCGTATGGGGGCCAGTGTGAAGAAGAGGACGCGCCTAAGATCCCCGTCTCTCCGACGACGTACACCTTCTTGTCCCTCGGGAAGTCGATCGAGTCCAGGTACGCCGCGGCGGCGAACGACGACGAGAAGACCTCGTCCGCGGTGATCTCGAGGCCGAGGTCGAGAAACTTCTTCAGGTACCCCGCGCGCGACTTGGTGCTGTTGTTCGTGACGAAGATGAGGCGCTTGCCCATGTCTCGTAACATCGCGATCGTCTCCGGAACGCCCTCGATGAGGGAGTCGCCCTTCCAGATCACGCCGTCGCAGTCGAAGATGAACGTCTCGACGGCGTCGACGAGGGCGCGCTTGTCGTCCTCCGCGATCGGCGCGCACACCGCGGGGTTGCACGTCTCCTGGGAGACGCGCGCGACCGGGGCGGACCTCGAGGAGGGCATCATCGCTGCGTTTTTCCGCGACGATCGGAGGACGGACGACGCGCGGCGGGTCGCGCTCGTCGCGGCGGCGCGGGGCGCGACGGCGGCGGCGGGAGCGGCGGCGGCGAGCGCGGAGGACATCGGGTGGTCGAGGTTCGTGCGGCGGACGAGCGCGCGGGCGTCGACCGGTGCGCGGGAGGGTAGTGCGCGATCGAGCGGCGGTGCCGTCGCACGGATAAGGACCGCGAGCGCGGCTCCGTCAGTCCGTGATCTCGGCTGCTTTCAATCGTCGATGAATCTCTGCGATGTCGTGCCGATGAAGCGACGTGCGTTCGGTCAGTTTGACCCACGATTGAAAGCGCGAAAGGAAGGACAGGAGCATCAGCTTCTGTTCATTCTGAAAAAACGCGAGCGAGCACTTCGACCGGCGCGAGGAAGCGATGCGGCGACGTCGCGGGCACCGGCCCGCGGCGCTGCTCGCGACGCTCCTCGTGTCGCTGTCGCTGTGCGCGACCGCGGCGGCGCCGGACGAGCTGCTGACGCTGCGAGCGGACGAGGCCGCGGGGAGGCTCGCGGAGGACTCATCACCGTCCTCACCATCATTCGACAACGACGGAGAAGCGCGCGGTCCAGGCGCGACGACGTCGCGCGTCGTCCGCGACGACGACGACGCGCTTTCGCCGTCGCCGCGCCCGCCGCGGACGACCCCGCCCGCGGACCCGCGGAGGAGCGCGTGCGCGCGCGACGGCGACGGCGACGCCGCCGACGCGTCGGCGGGAGCGGGCGACCATCGACTCGCGTCGCTGCGCGTCTCCCGCGGCCTCCTTCGCCCCGCGTTCCGCCCGGACGTGACGTCGTACGAGATCACGCTGCGCGCGGGCGACACAGACGACGCCGACGCCGACGCCGATGTGGACGGGGTGACGTTCGTGAAGATCTTCGCGCTGCCGTGCGACGCCGCCGCGGACGTCGTCGTCGCGGGCGTGCGCGTCCCGTCGAACGTCGCGTTCGCGCACGGCGCGGAGGGCGAAGTTCGAACTTCGATCGCCGCGGACGCCGCGACGGACGCCGCCGACGAGATGCGACGGATGCCGTCGATACCGCTCGCGCTCGGGGAGAATGCGCTCGCGATAACGACGCACGCGGACGTCAACGCGAGCGCGGCGGGCAGAGGCGAGCCGGACGCGACGTACGCGGTTCGCGTGCGCGTCTCGGAAGACGCCGGCGGCGTCGCGCGCGCGGCGTCTCGCGCGGCGGGGTGGACGCTCGCGCCGACCGCGCCCGATCCGCTGGTCTTCGCAGACGAAGCAGCGAACGGAGAGCGCGCGGTGGCGCTGGGGCCGCTGACCGCGGTCTCGGACGCGGCGATCGGGAAGACGGTGTACTTCAACGCGCCGCTGCGTGAGTCGACGACAGACCGACGCGCGTCCGGCGAACGCGCAGCTGGCGGCGGCGGCGGCGGCGGCGTGAGAGAGGACGACGAGTGGGTCGTGGAGGTCGTCGGCGTCCCCCCGCGCGGCGTCGGCTCGGTATACCTGACGCGGTCTGCGGAGGACGCGGTCGGCGAGCGCGGCGCGCGCGTCGCCGCGCCGAGGCTGGGCACGCGCGTCGCGTCGCCGCTCTCGTTCGTCGTCGATGAAAGTATCCGCCTCGACGGGAGGAACCGCGGAGGGAGGAGCCGCGGCGGCGTGAAGATGGCGTTCGTCGCGGGCGCGAACTTCACGAGCGACGGTGCGCACGTGCTCTATCGCGCGTGCCGACGCGCGTGGGTCACGAACTCCACGACCACGCGGGCGGTGTCGTGCGGGAACGCGCCGCCGTCGAGGGTGGAGTTTCGACGCGCGAGGGGGGATGACTGGGACGGCGGTTCCGGCGGTTATGGGCCGTCGCCGCCGCCGGCGACGTCGACGACGGCGCGCCGGCGCGCCGGCGGCGGCGTCTCCGCGGTCGTGACCCTCCCGCGGCTGTCCTCGCGCGCGCCGCCGCTCGACGACCTCGACGACGACGGCGCCCTTCTCCGCGCGAACGACCTTCCGAGGCGAGAGCTCGAGATCGCGTCGTTGCCAGCGAAGGGCTCTTTAGTCCTGTGCGGCGACTCGGACGACGCGGACGCGGTCGTCGCGCTTCGGTACCCGAGATCGATACCCGGAGACGCGGACGGCACGCCCGCGACGCTGGTGTACGTGCCGTACGGGCGCGAGGGCGGGAGCGGGGAGTGGGCGCGAGAGGCGTGCGAGGACGCGAAACGGGTCGTCGCGGCGAAAGGAGGAGGAGGAGGAGGAGGAGGAGGGGGGATGGCACGGCTCGGTCCGCGCGCGCGTCGGATCGCGTCGAGGGTTCGCGCGTTGCTGTCGTTCACGGCTTCGCTCGGCGGCGGCGGCGCCGGCGGCGACGGCGGGCGGCGATCGCTCCTGGAGTCGTCGTCGTCTTCGCCGAACGTCGCGATCGACGGCGGCGACGACGACGACGTCGTCGCCGCCGCGCCCGCGGGCGAGACCGCGGACGCGACGGACGGGTTCTCGTACCGCCACGTCGTCAACGGCGTGCCGTCGCCGGCGTCGCCGGTGACCATCGCGCTGCCGCGGTCGTCCGTCGGCGCCGACGGCGCGGACGACGCGGACGCCGCCGAAAACGCGCCGACGCCGCCGCCGAGGGCGTCGCTCGCGCCGCGACGACGACGGCTCCTCGAACGCGTCGAGCCAATCTCCACCGCCGCGCTCGCGCTCGACATCCCGGCGGTCCTCGCGCTGGACCCCGCGTCGACTTCGGCGACGCCGACGTGCGCGGAGGCGTCGGTCGCCGCGTCCGACGTGTCCGACGCGTGGACGTGCGCGGCGTCGGACGCGTCCGACAAACGCGCGGGGTACCCGGGCCCGACGACGTGCCGCAAGCCGGAGTACGAGGTCCGCGTCGAGGTCGTCGGCGACTCCATCCCGGACGCGTGTTTCGGCGCCGGTGGTTTCGGGTACGGCCCGGAGCGCGTGTGGGTCGGCGCGACGTTCGTCGACGGCGGGTCGTGCCCCGCGAGCGGGAGCGGGCACGACGAGAACGGCGTCCATCGCACGAGTTGGCGGTCCGTCGCCGGCGGCGCGTTTCGACGGGAGGGACCCACACAGAACGGAGGAGCCTCCGGAGACGACTCTGGTGGACCTCTGCGCGCGACGCTCAGAGGGCTCTCGAGCTGTGGCGACGACGAGGCGCTCACGGTGTGGGCGTGGTCCTCGTGCGTCGAGCCGGCGGGGCATCGGATCCTTCTGAACGTCACGGTGAGCCGATCGCCGCCGCGGCCCGAACCCGAGCGATACCACGACGGCCGCGGCCCGCGGCCGATACGCCCCGCGACGCACCCGCGGAAGCGGCTCGCGGACTGCCTCGTCGTCCCGCCCGTCTCGGGGCTGATATGCCCGGAGGATCTGTCGCTGCTGCCGCGGCCGAGGGCGACGTGCCCGGCGCCGGGCGCGAGCGGCGAGGAGCTGGACGCGGTGTTGACGCTGGCGGCGTCGCAGCCGCGCGACCCGAGCGGGCACTCCGTCGCGCTCGCGCCCGACGCGCGCCCCGGCGCGGTCGTCGTCCCGCGGAACCTGACGGTGTTCTTCGACCTCCTCGGACCTCCGCCGCATCCGAAAGCGGCGACGCTGTATCAGGTGCGTTCTATACAAAGGTTTTTCACCCATCGCTCGGCGGTTTCAACACTTGATCGCGTCTCCTGTCAACTGACCGATAAACTTTGTTTGTATGGAACGACCCTCATCAGCACGACGCCAACGGCAGGCGCGGCGCGCGGCTGCCGTCGTCGCTGGACTTCACCGGCGCGCCGATTCGCGTCGCGGACGCGGACGGTCGCTTGCTCGTGTCCCCGACGCCGCGGTTGGACATCCCGGGCGCGCACGCTCGGTCGCTCCCGGGGACGCCCGCGGCGTCGATGCGGTACCTCGCGTGCGTCGCGGAGGACGGCACGTGCGCGTCGCAGAGCGGCAGCGCGGAGGTTGACGTCACCGCGAGGCCGCTCATCTCAGGTGCGTTCTATACACTGGTCCCCATACGACCGCGTTGGCGTGGTGAACGCCGATCCTTAAGGACTTTTCCCGGCGCATCTCTCCGCCCATCCCCCGCTTTCAACGCCCGCCCTCGACGCCTTTCAACTCCACCTGACGCCTTTGAACACCACCCCGCCATCGCTTTGTATGGAACGACCCTCAGCGGAGAACGCGTTCATCCTCACCGAAAAGGGCAAGAAATCGGACGGGTTCCGCGTGTACGCCTCCGACGAGGACTCGAACGGCGTCATGACCGTCGTGACGTCCTTGCCCGAGGTCCTGGAGACGCTCGGGACGCTGTCGTACTGCCCGGAGCCGATGCCGGCGCCGTCGTCGGAGTGCGCGACGGCGATTAACCTCCTCTTGCGACCGTGCAGCGGAGGCGAGTCGTGCATCATCCTGTGCAGCGGCGCCGCGCAGTGCGTCGAGTGTCTGGACGACACGTACTTTCGATGCCCGGGGCAGCAGACGCCGACGGTGAACCCGCTGATTTACTGGACCGCGGGGACGTGCGCGGAGTGCGCCGGGAAGCCGGTGGGGGCGTTGGAGTTCAAGGCGCACGACGGCGCGCAATTTTCGTCGCCGATGACGGAGCCCGGGCACAAGGTGGAGCTCCACGTGAACACGCCGCCGCAGTCCATCTCCGGCGGGATATTTCAGGAGACGATCGCGCGAACTCCCGAGGACTGCGGCGCGGAGTGCGCCGCGGACTGCGCGGAGGTGTGCCGGCGCTCGTGCATCGAGTACCTCTCCTCCGCGTCGAAAAACGCGGAGATGAGCTTGGACTGGTGCGAGATACACGACGCGTCCGGGGAGTGCGATAACGTCGCGTGCGTCGCGGAGTGCGACGAGCTGCGTTGCGACTCGCACGTGTTCGCGTTGTACTCGCTGAGCGGCTCGGACGTCGACGGGGACCCGCTGAGCTTCCGCGTCAGCTCGATACCGAAGCAGCTCGTCGTGAACCCGGACGACCAGTCCGTGACGTCGGAGGACGTCGGCAAGGTGTATCAGACCGCGCTCGCTCCCGGCGAGAGCTCGTTCCGGAGGATCTACGGGCCTGATGACCTGGTGCTATCGCGCTCGGGCGTGATCAAGTTTATTCCTCAGCGCGGGTCGCAGGGTCGGCCCGTCGGCGGCCTCACCGGGTTGCAAGAGATTAAATTCCGCGTCAACGACGGATACGCCGACGCGTCGAGCACGGGCTCGGTGTCGTTCGCGGTGAACTCGCCGCCGACGACCGAGAACACGAGCACGCCGCTCCACGAGGGCGCCAACATCACGCTGTCCCTGGGCGCGGTCGACGCCGCGGACTGCCCGGCCGGGTACTGCGGCAAACTCCCCGACGGGTCGTACTCGGGCGCGATGAAAGCGCGCGTCGTTCGCGTCGCGCCGCTCGGCGTCGTCCCGGGATTGTACCACGACGTCCCGATCCCCGACGCGGACGGCGGCGGCGCGATGCGAACCGAGCTTCGATGCGACGGCGTGAACGGGACGTGCGAGCCGCCGATATTACTCACCGGCGTGGACGTCTTCTACGACCCCCCGGAGCCGACGCGTCCGGTCGACGACCTCAACCCCCCCGGGTTGGAATCCAGCGGCGGCGTGCTGAGCGTCTACTTCGTCGCCGACGACGGCGAGCTGCTTTCCTCGACCGTCGGCGTGGCGAACATCACGTACGTTCCGAAACCGAGAGCCGCGGACGTCGTCGTGTCGTACCCGTCGAAGAAGCCCAAGTCGATCGGGGTTCGCGTGCCGAGTTTGGGCGAGTACTACGACGGCCAGCCGACGCAGTCGACGCGCGTGACGCTCGCGCCGCTTCCGAGCGCGTTCGCCTCGTGTGGCGACCAGACCGTCAGCGAGGACGACAGGATACACACGAAGCTCGTGACGCTCCCGCCCGCGGACGTCGGATACCTGAGCGTCCTCCGCGAGCCCTCGAACGGGTGGTTTAACCCCGACGGCACCCCCAGAGATCCTCCGGAGACGGTGGCCAAGTACACCACGACGCCAGGGTTTTACCAAGGCGCGTTCTATACACTGGTTCCCATACGACCGCGTTGGCGTGGTGAACGCCGATCCTTAAGGAATTTGCCCGTCGTCTCTCTCCGCCCAGCTATCGCTTTCAATCCCCGCCCTCGACGCCTTTCAACTCCAACTGACGCCTTTCAACGACACCGTTTCTCTCACAGTCAACGCGGGGAGCCTCGCCGAGGGCGCGGTGGACAATCCGATGCGCCAGGTGCTCTTCACGCCGCTGTCGGCGCTTCCGGACGACGGCGTCGCGTACAACACGTCCTTCACGTTCCGAGTGTGCGTGACCAAGGCGAACGAGGACGGCAGCCGCGTCTGCGACGCGTACGGCGAGACGCAGGCGCGTTCCCTATACACGCTGGTCCCCTCCCTATACGCGATCCCGTCGGCGCGGCGCGCTTCGATCCTTGAGGACCTTCTCTCCCGGCGTTCGTTTCTCTCCGCCCATCGCCCCTCGCTTTCAATCCTCCCGACACACCTCGACGCCTCACAACTCCGCTTCTGACGCACCCCTGAACTCCACCCCGACATTCGTCGCTTCGAATGATGGACCCTCGACCCGCAGACGGCGACGATCGTCGTCGAGCCGCACAACCTCCCGCCCGTCGCGACGCCGACGACGGCGCCGAGCATGCTCCAGGGCGTCGACTCCGAGCGCGGCGTCGTGTTCTCTCTCCACGGGACGGACCCCGAGGGCGGCGACGTGTCGCCGTCCATCACGCTCCCGCCCGGGTTTAGCGTCTCGTGCGGCGACGCGTCGAGCGCGTGCGGCGTCTTGTACCAATACGACGCGCTCGGGACTTTCAAACGCGGCGACGCGTTTCCGTCGTCGTGCTCGTCGTCGTCGCCGTGCCCGGTGACGGACCCGGAACACCGCGTGCTCTTCGTCCCCGACGAGAACGGGAGGGATCCGTACGGTCCGAACGCCGCGGCGTACGCGGCGATCGAGTTCGTGGTCGTGGACGACGTTGGTCTGACGTCGCAGCCGGAGCGGGTGGAGATGAGGGTCAACGCCGCGCCGACGATTACCCCGGCGACCACGCGGCGGGTCTTCGTGTTTGAAAACTCCGCGGGCCCGCTGCCGCTGAGCCTCCTCGGGAGCGACTCCGACGGCGACGTTCTCACGTTCGAGATCTTGAGCGCACCGAACCCCACGGGAGGCGACGACGACGGCGCGTTCTACGACGTGAACCCCGCGGACGGCTCGCGCGGTCGTCGGCTCGATTTGAACATCCTTCCTCAGGCGTTGACGCCCGGGAATAATCGCGTGTGGTTCGAACCGAAGCTCCCGGGGAACGTGACCGGGTGCTGCCCCGCGCGGGAGTGCGTCACCCTCGCCGGGGTGAACCTCCCGAGCACGTGCAACAGCTGCGACAGCTGCGTCGAGGTGGGGACGTCGTGTGAGTGCGCCAACGTGTGCTGCCCGCATCGATTTTTTTACGGCGAGCTGACGTACCGCGTATCGGACTCGAACAACTTGTTCGCGCGCAACGTCGGGAGGGTGCACATCCACGTGAAGCCGTCGAACGACGCGCCCGTCGTGGGCGAAGACTTCACCGTCGTCGCGTTCGAAGGCGAGCCGATCGAGCTGGAGTTGAAAGGCGCGGACGAGGACGAGACGTGCGTCACGACGCAAATCGCCGGCGTTTGGAGAGTGACGTGCGAGCCGCAGCTCGTCTCCGCGGTGATCGTCGACGCGCCGAAAGTAACGGACACTGAAGGGGCGTTAACCGATGCCTTCGGCGCCGCGAACACGATCTCCGCGATCGCGCCGACGACGGGAAACTATGTCGGACCGCCGGGGTTCCCCTCCTCGTGGTTCGGCGCGGGCTCCAAGGCGCCGAACGAGATGACCGCGACGGAAGCGATGGCGCTGGACCGCGCGGTGTTGCTCTCGAACACGCTCAAGGTGACGTACACGCCGCCGCCCATCGCGGCGGGGTTCCCGTTCTTCACGCTGCGGTACGGATTGAAGGACGCCTCGGGCGCGTACTCCGCGGACACCGCGCGCGTCCAGATCGTCGTCCGACATAAACTCGACGACGTCCTGTCGCGGTTCGTCCGCCTGCCGAACTGGTACTTCCGCCCGATCGACGCGCCGTTGAAGGACAGCGTCGACTGGTGGGCGAACGGCGCCGCGGGGATCAACCCGGCGACGCTCGACCCGGAGACGACCGCGTCGCATTGGTTGACCCCGAAGAAGCGGGATCAGATGGGGTCGTTCGGCGTCGTCTTCGGAAGGAACGAAGCCGGGCAGCTCGGGTTGGGACACGCCGCGATTCAGCGCCTGCCCGTGCTCGATGACGCGGAGGAGACGATGAAGCTCGAGCTCGCGTCGATCGCTGCCGGGGAGTACTCCGCCGTGGGTATCAGCCGAGCCCCGGAAACCCTTGGGCAGGCGTACGCGTGGGGAGACGGCGCCAACGGACGCTTAGGTCTCGGGCACGCGTACCCGCGCGCGAGACCGACGAAAATCGAAGGCGTCAACGACGTCGCCTCCGTCGCCGCGTCCGCGGGCCACGCGTGCGCGGTCACGAAACGCGGCGAGGCGTACTGCTGGGGAGCCGACGCGGACGGGCAGCTCGGCCGCCCGCGTCGCCGAGGGTCGCTGCGGGGTCCCGCGGCGGCGGCGACGGACGCGGCGGCGGCGGCGGCGGCGGATCCGTTGCGACCCCACCGCGTCGTCGGCGGCGGATTCGATCGCGTTGACGTCGTCGGCGTCGCCGTCGGGGAGTTCCACACCGTCGCGCTGTCGTCGGAGGGCGTGATGTGGTCGTGGGGGTCGAACGCGAACGGTCAGCTCGGACGGTTAGAGTGCGCGGAGCGGTCGCATCACCCGAAGAGCCAGCCGAGGACGACGACGATCGAAACCCCGGACGGGAACGAGACGAGGACGATCTTCGGGGGGAACGAGAAGCTCAACGGGACCGGATGCGAAGCCTACGGCGCGCCCGCGGTCGGGAGGCAGGAGACCCCCGGCCCGGTGGAGCTCGCGCTGATGTGGCGCCCGTATGGAAGAAGCGCGGACTCGCGCGATTACCGCGTCCGGGATTCAGACCTGGAGCCCGTCCGCTTCTCGCAGATCGCCGCCGCGGGGTCGTTCACCGTCGCCGTCTCCGCGGACCCGCTCCCCGGGACGCCCGCGGCGATCGCGCTCGAGAAGGCGCGCAAAGAGGCGGCGTTTCGACCCCCCGGGAACCTCATCAATGTGGACGTGGACGCAGATGAGGACGCGTTGGGCGCGGCAAAGCGCGTCGAGACCGCCGCCGTCGCGCCCGGCCGCGTGTACACGTTCGGACACGGACCCGTCGGACAACTCGGCCACGGCGTCGGACGCCAGCCCGGCCGCGAAGGTCTCGACGACCACAGGGTCATGGTCCCGACCCCGATCGCGGCGCTGGAGGGCGTCGACGTCGTGCAGGTCTCCGCGTCGCGGCACCACGTCGCGGCGGTGACGCGCGACGGTCGAGTGTGGACGTGGGGCGGGAACTCTCACGGGCAGCTCGGGCACGGCGACCGCATCACGCGGTTCGTCCCGAAACGCGTGGACGCTTTGAAGCACGTGAACATAACCGCCGTCGCCGCGGGGTTACATCACACCGTCGCGATCTGCGACCTCGGGGAGGTGTACGCCTGGGGCTCGAACGAGTTTGGCGAGCTCGGGTTGGACCCGCAGAGCGCGTTCGAGCTCGAGGAGAACAACGCCAACGAGCCCTACCTGACGCTGCGGGGGTGGCGGCAGATTCCGAACGTGACCAATTTATTGAACTCGGGGGAGACCGGCCGCCGACGCGCGCGGCGGCTGCTGCGCATGGACGCCTCAGATGATCCGGAGGGCGAGTACGACTTGATCTTCGAGCGCCTGCGCGACGACGAGGACGCGAGCGGCAACGTCGGGCACGCGCACTCCCTCTTCAAGTCGCTCCTCTCCGGGGTCCAACCGTTGACGCCGCCGCCGTGGGTTTTAAACGGCTCCGAGTTTGACCTCGCCGCGTTCGGCTGGGGCTGGGTCGTCGGGCAGTCCGCGGAGAGCGCGGGGCGACCGGACTACGTCACGGTCCCGCAGCTCGTGCGCGGCGCGACGCAGGTCGGGGAGATCGCCGCGGGGGGCGGGTTCACGCGCGCGACGCGTCGCGCGTGCCGCCCCGGGTCGCGTCTCGACAAAGGTGCGTTCGTTTTGTACACTGGTCCCCAACTACGACCGCGTCGGCGTGGTGAACGCCGTTCCTTTTTAAGGACTTTGCCCGAAAGGCGTTTCTCTCCGCCCAGGGTCCCACGCTTTCAGTCTTCTCAGACCGCGATGCCTTTCAACTCCGCTTCTGACGCCTTTCGACTCCGCCCCGATATCATCGCTTCGCATGATGGACCCTCGACCCAAAGTCACCGGCGACTGCGTCGTCTGCGCGACGGGCGCCTTCGCGGAGGACCTGAGCGCGACCGCGTGCTCGCCGTGCCCGCCCGGTCGAGCCGCGCCCGTCGAGGGCGCGTCCAGATGCGACGCGTGCGCGCCCGGATCGTACGCGTCGCTCCCCGGAACGGAGACGTGCGCGCTCTGCCCCGGCGGCACGTTTCTCGGTTTCGGAGGCGCGTCGTCCGCGGAGCAGTGCGTCGCGTGTTCCCCCGGCACCTTCTCCGCGCTCCCCGGCGCGTCGGCGTGCGCGCCGTGCGGCCCGGGGACGTACCAGGAGTCTTCCGCTTCCACGGCGTGCGTCGAGTGCCCGGCGTCGACTTCGCTGGCGTACTCGCGCAGCCGCTCCGCCGCGGATTGCCTCGCGTGCCCCTCAGGTGCGTTCTTACAAAGGTTTTTTTTACACCCATAGCTCGGTTTCAACACTTGATCGCGTCTCCTTTCAACTGACCGGTGAACTATTTTTGTATGGAACGACCTCGTCAGGGTCCTTCGGCGACGCGCCCGGAAAGTCGAGCTGCGAGCCGTGCCCCGCGGGGCACTTCGCGGCGACGCCCGGGAGCTCCGTCTGCGCGCCATGCGCGGTCGGGTCGTTTTCCGCGGGCGAGGGGAACGTGAAGTGCGACGCGTGTCCCGCGGGGACGTACGGCGCGGCGGCGGCGGTGAGACTGCTTCCCATACGACCCCGTTCGCGTGGTGAACGCCGTTCCTTAAGGACTTTTCCCGTCGTCACTCTTCACCCGCGTTTCCCTTTCAACGCTTGACCGGTAAGACGTTCGACTGACCGATCGCTTCACCCACGCAGGCGACGAGCGCGGCGGCGTGCCCGCCGTGCGCGCCCGGGACGTATTCCAACGCGTTGGGCGCGGCGTCGTGCGCGCCGTGCGCGCCGGGGACGTACGCGTCGAATCCCGGGTCCACGGAGTGCGTAGGGTGTCCCGCGGGGACGTTCGGGTACGCGCCGGGGGCGACGTCCGCGGCGCAGTGCGACGCGTGCCCGAAGGGGGAGTATAACCCGACGTCGGGGCGCGCGCGGATCGAGTTTTACAACGCGTTGATCGAGGCGACGGAGTACGTCAAATGCGTGGACTGCGCGCAGGGGACGTACGCGGACGTCCTCGGGTCGACGGTTTGCAAGCAGTGTCCGCCGGGGACGCATCTCAACTACACCGGCGCGCGGTCCGTCTCGGAGTGCTACGCGTGCGCGCCCGGGAGTTTCGCCCCCGTCGGAGGGCTGGACGCGTGCTTGCCGTGTCCTCCCGGGACGTACGTCGAAACCTTCGGCGGGAGCGCGTGCGTCGGATGCCCCCCCGGAAGTTTCAACGCGTTCTTCGGGTCGAACTCCGTGGACGCGTGCGAGCCGTGTCCGCCCGGGACGTTCATCGACGCCGCGGGCGGGGGCTCGTGCACGCTGTGCCCGGAGGGCCACTACCAGCCTCTGAGCGGGCAGAGCTCGTGTCTGAAGTGCGCGGCGGGATTTTACCTTCCGGAGAAGAACGCGACGTCCGCGGACCAGGTGCGTTCTATACAAAAGTCTTTCACCCATATGTAGCTCGATTTCAACACTTGGTCGCGTTCCATTTCAACTGACCAGTGAACTATTTTTGTATGGAACGACCCTCAGTGCCTTCCATGCGACGTCGGGACGTTCGCGGCCGCGCCCGGTACCGCGGAGTGTTCGCCGTGCCCCGCCGGGTCGTTCGCGTCCAGCCCGCGATCGTCGTCGTGCGATCCGTGCGCCGCGGGGACGGTGTACGGGCTCACGGGAGGGAACTCGTCGTCGCAGTGCGTCGCGTGCGGACCTGGCACCGTCGCGCCGAATCCCGGCATGTCCGAGTGCGCGGAGTGCCCGCTCGGGCGGTACAACACGTTCTTCGGCGCGACGTCGTGCACGCCTTGTTCCGCGGGGTTGTTCCTCCCGTTCACGGGCTCGCAGGACCCGCTTGATTGCCAGCCGTGCGGGACGGACCCGTACGGGACGTACTCGCCGACGCCCGGCGCGGGCGCGTGCGAGCGGTGCCCGCGAGGCACGTACGCCGACGCCGACGGCTTGCGCGCGTGCGTTCCCGTCCCGCGAGGGTTTTTCTTACCGCAGCCCGGAAGCAACAGCAGCGCGGACGCGATCCCGTGCCCGGTCGGGACGTTCGCGAACGAGCCCGGCGCGGAGCTCTGCGCGGACTGCCCCACGGGTTCGTACGCGGACCAGGTGGGGACGATCGCGTGCTCGCCGTGCGACGCGGGGTTTTTCCTCCCCACCGAGAAGGCGACCTCCGGGGACCAGTGCCGGAAGTGTCCGATCGGCACGAGATCCGCCGCGGGCGCGGGGCAGTGCAACGTGTGCCCGCCCGGGCAGTACGGCGACGAGGAGGCGCTCCCGGAGTGTCTGAGCTGCCCGCCCGGGATGTACCAAGCGCTCGCGGGCGCGTCGAGCGCGGACCAGTGCCTCGAGTGCGCCATCGGCTTCCACAACACGCAGCCGGGGAAGGCGCAGTGTCTGCCGTGCATCCCGGGGACGTACGGTAACCTCACCGGGATGGCGGAGTGTTGGAAGTGCCTTCCGGGGACGTTTATCGATCTCGAGGGGTCGATATTTCCGAGCGACTGCGCGCCGTGCGCGTTGGGGACCTTCGCGGACCAGCACGGATCCGCGGTGTGCGATCCGTGCCCGCCCGGGTCGTACAACGACGAGGAGGGCCGCGACTCGTGCAAGCTGTGCCCGGCGCGGACGTACGGGCCGAGGACGGGCGCGACCGGGATCGAACTGTGCGAGTACTGCCCCAGGTGGCACTTCAACACGACCCCGGGGACGTTCCAGGTGCAAGACTGCGTGTACGAGCACAGCGGCGCGCGATCGTTCCGCGGCGGAGGATGGACGTTCGCGGTCGTCGTCGCGCTCGTCGCGGCGTTGGGTTTAATTTAGTTTATTTAATGTTAGAAGCTAGTAGTCTAAGAAAGTACGGAAGTACTTTCGAAAGTACGTTGAAAGTACCTTCGAAGGTGGGTAGTACACCGCCGTCGTACTGTGCGACCGCGGCGCCGCGCTGGGTAGCTAGTGAAGGCTCTGCATTCGCGCGCGCGCGGCCAGTTCCGAATCGCGCGCTTCCGTCGTCGCCGGGTGATGTCTCCCGTACGCGATCTCGAGGATGGCGCCGGCGCGTCGATACGCCGCCGCCGCCTCCGCGAGCGCGACCGCCGCGGAAGACGAAACGTCAACCGCCGCCGCGTGGGCGTGGGCGTGGGCGGCGCCCTTCTTCTTCCCCCCTCCCTTCGCGACGACGGTCTTCCGCCTCTCCTTCCGCTCGTCAACGTCCACGAGCGCGACGAGCGCGTCGCCCAAGCACCGCAACGCGTGCGCCCTCCCCGGATGATTCACATTGACGAATCGCCGCATCGCGTCCGCGACGTCGCGCGAGACGTCCGCCGCGTGCCTCCACTGCTTCAACGCCGCGTGCGCGTCCATCAAAACGAGCCGACACTCGTGCCGTATCACGTGCGCGTCGCACAGCGCGTCGTCGCTCTCACGCACGACTTCGCACGCGATCGAAACGGCCGTCGCGTGATCGTTTTCCCGCAACGCCGTCAACGCCGCCGCGTGCCGCCCGATCCACCGACGCTCGGCGGCGTCCCTCTTCGACCGCGCGCGCGCGCATTTCGCGCCGCACGTCAAGCACGAGTCTCCCGCGTCCGGGACGACGCCGTCGCACGCGCTCAGACGCGGGCACCGCCACCCGCCGAGCGGCGCGTCCCTTCGCGCGGACGCCGCGTCCGCGCACCGACGGCACTCGCACGCGAACGCCTTCTTTTCCCAGAGCGCCTCCCGACGCGTCTCTCTCGTGGCGTACACCTCCGCGTACGCGATGCAAATCTCCTCGCCCTCCTCCACGGGGGATACGCATCGCACGGTGAGCCTCGCGCCGTTGTTTGTTGAACCGTTAGAACATGAACCGTCGCGGTCGGAATGTGAACCGTCGCCATCGTCGTCCGCCCCGCCGAACGACACCACCGCGTTCGGCGCGCACGAGTGATTAAACAACGCCGCGGGGGGATACACCCCGGTCCCGAGCGCCCTGCCCGCGGCGTCGACGACGCCGTGCGAATTCACGTGCACTTTGCTCATCACCTCCGCGAGCGCGTCGACGTCCATCCGCGCCGGTCCGGGCGGCAGCATCGAGTTCACCGCGTTCGCCATGCCGACGTACGTGGCGCGTTTCTCCGCGGAGACGTCGCGAAACGGCGAGTCGAGCGCCTTCACCGCGTCGAAGAGCCCCGGGGCTGTCGCGCGGACGTAGAGCAGTCGAAGAAACAGTCGAAGCCCTCTCGTCGCGGACGAAAGCCGCGGGTCCGTCTTCGCGCGCCGCGCGAGCGCGCACTCGCCGACGTGCGACGTGTCCGCCGCGCGGCATCGACGGCCGCAGTAGAGCGCGGCGTCGCACGCGTCGCATCGAACGCCGCCGCCGTCGACGTCGCGGTAACAAAAGGCGCACGCGCGCTCCGCGTGCCGGTCGTGCACCGCGCACACGAGCGGGTCGCACGTCATGACGACGTCGCCCTCGCGCAGCGCGCGTCGCGCTCTCAGGTGCCGCCCGCGCGCGCCCGTCGCGTCGACGCAGAGGTACAGGTTGGGGTCGAAGGCGAAGTCGATCCCGCCGGGAAGCGTCTGCGAGGGCGCCGCGTCGCGGGGCGGGGGGCGCCGCGGCGGCGGCGGCGGCGGCGGCGACCGCCCGGGCGACGACGACGACGGCTCGGACGCGTCTTCTTCTTCTTCGCGGCGATCGTCGTCGTCGTCGCTCGCGCGCGATATCGGCGACGGCGGAGGCGACGGTTCGTATTCCCGAGACGGTTCGTCCGGCGGGAACGGCGCCGTCGCGCGCTCCGCCGCCGCCTTCGTCGGCGTCGGCGACGGATCCATCGCGCTCGCGCCGTCGAACGCGACCGTCAGCGTCCGACTCTTCTTGCTGAACTTGACCCTCGACACCTCGGCGCGCGCGGACGACGACGACGACGACGACACCGCGAACGGCAGCGGGTGCGTCAGCCTCCATCCCCCCGCGGCGGAGGACGCGGAGGACGCGTCGTCGTCGTCGTCGTCGCCGCCGTACGCGAGCGCGAACACCTCGAGGACGTCGCCGTTCACGACGTCGACGCTGACGGCGGAGGAGGAGGACACGCCCGGGAGGCGCACGCGGACGACGTACGCGCCGCGATCGTCGAAGGACGCCTGCGAAGGACGGACGACGGCGACGGGGACGGACGACGAGGCGATGAGTCGGACGGGAGGTGCCGAAACGATGACTCTCGCGACGACTGGAGGATCTCGGGGGCGGGGCGCCGGGCTGGCGGCGCGCGCTCGCGGTCGGTCGCGAGCGGCGAGGGGCGGCGCACCTCGTGCGTCGGCGTCCTCGCGCTCGCCATGACGCGTCCGCGGCGGCGGCGAGGGCGGGCGCGACCCGTCGACCGCCGCGCGCGCGGAGGAGTGCGCCGCGCCGTGCGTCGTGGGATGATGAACGGTCAGCAGTTTCGAAGCGTTCGTCCGTCGCGTTGCGTCGTCCGCCGCGTGGTTAACAACACCGCCACCACCAGACACTCTCCCTCGCGCGTCGAGATGACGACGTGAGATGACGTCGTCGTCGTCGTCGCCGCCGCCGCCGCCGGTCGAGCGCGAGCTCGAGTCCGTCGTCGTCCTCGACGCGGTCGTCGCGCGCGCCGGGGTGGACGACGCCGCGCCCGGGGCGGCGTCGGCGGACGCGGAGCGTCCGCCGCCTTCTCCACCGATCTTCTCAGCCCCGCACGGCGTCTTTCTGCACCGCGCGTCCGCGCTGAAAGTCCCGGAGGAGTGGACGTCGTTCCTCGCGGAGGAGTTCGCGCGCGCGTGCGACGGCGTCGCGATCGCGTGGAGCAAAGATGAGAGGGTCAGGTCCAGAGCCGCGAGGGACGCGGTCCCGGGAAGGATAGATCCAAATTGCTGCGATCCCGCGAGCGACGCGTCGCATCCCTTCGGGGTGCTGCTCCGCCGTCACGCGGCCGCGCACCCCGGGGCGCTGCACGTGGACGTGCACGGACGACGCGACCCGGAAGGCGACGCGCTCGTCGACATCGGGCGCGGGGACGTGGACGTCGGCACGGGCGCGCTGCGCGGGGCGTCGGACGACGAACGCTCGAGAGCGTTCGCGGAGCGCGTGCGCCGCGCGGTGTCCCGCCGTCTCCGCGCGTTCCTCGCGACGACGTGGGGGGGCGACGGCGACGGCGACGGGTTCGAGGTGAACGACGATCCGGTGCTCGCGGGCGCGCGCGCGGACGGCATGCACACGATGTCGCAGCGCGGCGTGGAGCTCGGTTTAGTCAGCGTGCAGCTCGAGCTGAGTTTGCGTCTGCGAAACGCGTTGCGCGCCGACGGCGACGCGACGCGAGGCTTCGCGCACGCGGTGCTCGCCGCGTGGGAGGAGTGCCGAAGCGGGGGGTAAGCGCTCGTCGCGATTGCGCGTCGGTTTTGATGCATGTAGAAGTACAGTAGAGTGAGCGAGCGAGCGCGTCGCCTTCGTTTGGTTCATTTCCTGTGTGTAGTATTACACCCGCTGTCTCGAGACAAAGCGGACAAAAGCAAGAGTTGGAAACGTTCCCTCCGGTGAGCGACCGTCGACGTCGTTCGGTCGCCCAGTACTCATCGTTCGTCAAAGTTCAAGGTTGCGTCTCGTAACGTAAACCATAACCATGTTCAAGCTCCGCGGATGCAGACGCGCACAGAGACGGGCTGGGTGTCGTCAGGTCAACACACCCCGCCGCCCCGTCTCTTCGCCTGCTCCCTCCGTCCCGGGCTTCTCGTCACCCCCAATTCCACCACCCCCCCGATCGCGCGCACGTCGTCTGCTTTTAGACGACTTCGCTCGCGCAAACGCTTAATCCTCCCCCAGACCAGCGGGGGCGGGAAGCCTAGCAACCTCCATGAACTTCGGGTTGCTGTACTTTTTGTGCACCGCGGACAAAGACGCGGTCGCGCTCTTGCGCTGCAAACGCGCCATCGCGTTCGCGCACGGCCGAATGTCCTCCTCCGTGTACCGCGTGTGCGCCTCCATCACGTCGTTCCACTCACCCTTACCAAGCGTCTTCATCGCCACGTACACCGCGCTCGCCGCGAGAAGAGACCCGGGGTACTTCAGCATGCTGTAGTCCGGCAGCGAGCTCTCCACGACGAAGCTCGCGAGGAGCTGAAACTGCTTATCCGCGTTCGCCGCTTTGAAAAATCGAGACATGAACTGGTACGGTGTCGGCACCGTGAGGTGGAACCCGAGCGTGTTCAGCATCTGCTTCTCCATCCCGAGGATCTGCTCTCGGGTGTACGCCTTGTCGGAGATGTACACGAAATCCCTGACCTCCGGCGCCCAAATCTCCTCGTACTTGGACGCGAGAAGCATCGCGGTGACGCCGACGAGCTGAAGGTTTTTCCGCGTCACGACCTTCTTCGCCAAGAAGCGGTCGATGAGGTTGTGCGTCAGAAACAGCGTTTCCGGCATCAGCTTAAACTTCAGGTGCACCTCGACGAGCCAGTCGATGAGGATCGCGCGCATCTTGTCGTTGATGTCGGTCTGGATCAGCATGTAGTTCGGCGCAACCTGAGTGTCGGGCTGCGGGAGGGAGAGAAGGAAAAAAGGGAAGGAGGCGTTTAGTTTCAGTTCAACGAGCGAGGAGCGATTCGTTCGGCGAGATCTGACGGACGCGACCGCGGTAAAGTCGCCCGCGGAACGTGAGCGACCGCGCCGCGCGCGGGGAACGCGCCGAGAGCGGCGCGAAAGCCCGACGCGCGCGTCGAACGCGTTTCAGATCGAACACGATTCAAAACGCGTCGCGACAGCTCGGAGTTCGTTTTTCAAGCAGTGACTGGTCGCGCGCGAAAACGTCGCGCACCTCGACTCTGAACCAGTAGCTGAAGATGTCGTTCACGTACTCCGTCACCGCGAGAGGGTTCTCACGGTCGAGGGCGTCAATGTCCGGGATCTCCTGTAGATCGAGAGCGAAAGGAGGGCGTGAGGTCAGTCGTTCGTGGTCAGAGACACGTCGAGCGCCTCGCGAGTCGCGAGTCGCGCGCAAAAGGGGTCCTAAGCAAAACGCGCGCGCGAGAGGCACAGGGTAGTGACCTCTCGCCCGTCGAGGCTTTGGGAGGGTGGTCGAGGTTCACGCACCGCCGCGGCACGCCCTTCCATGTACGCGGTGTAGCTCTCGCGCTTGGACGCGGGCTCGCCCGAGCGCGTCGTCATCGTGCCGCCCGTGGCATTTGAGATGTCGCGAGGGCGCGTGTTCGTCGTGCGCTGCGACGTGCGGCCCCACTTCGGCGCCGCGGCCCCACGCTGCGTCTTCTCGCGGAAGTTGTTGAGCATCGTGGACATGTCGTTCACGCTGTTGGAGACGCCATTTTCCCTGAACACGCGAGGAGGAATCGTCAGCGACGCGCTTAGAAAGGAGCGTCCCCCCGTCGCGATTCGCGTTTCACAACACGAGAAGACCTAAGCAGAGAGAAACGACGACCGCGAGATGCGCCGGAAAAGGCGCGCGGTGGGGTGGGAAAGGGTACGCACTTGGTGCCCTCCTTGCCCGCGGCACCTCGAGTGCCCGCCTGAGCATTACCGATATCGCCGAGCGCGCGGCGGTTGCCCATGAGGGGAACCCGGCCGGACATGACTGCGGGGGTGAATCGCGGGTTACCGTGCGTGAGCGTCAGTTCGTGCGACGAGCGCGAAATCGCGTGCGAGGGGTACGCGTCGGATGCGCCGCGTGACGCGCGACGCGAGCGGCATTGCGCGCGAAAAGACCCATATCTGACTCACCCTTCTCACTCCTCGTGTTGATATCGCCCGTCGATCTTCGCGCGTTCTCGTTCATGGCGCCTGCGGGGTGAACGACGCGCGCGTGAGTGCGTGAAAAAACTTCGTCGCACGAAAAACAACGACGCGAGCGAGATTTCGCTTTTCCGGCGACCGGGGAATGACCGTAGACCGAGCGCGCGCGCGGGCACGAACCTTGACGTATCGTGTGCCCGTGCCGTGCGGAGCGTTCTTGCTCGCCTCCTCCGCGCGGTTAGGGAGTCGATATGCGACGACGAACGTGCGTCGGGCAGCGCGGAGTGTGGAACCGATGCGCGTCTTCGGCTTTATTTTCGCTCCGCGTAAACACGCAGCAAACGGAAATTTTTTTTGAGTTGCAGACGAGTTAAAACGCCAAATGAATTCCGCGTACGCGTACGCGTACGTCGTTCTATCTAATTGCGCACTGAGGCGTTGTGAACGAAAATGCCTTTCGAAAACTCCGAATGGTTCCCCTGAAGGCGTTTTCGTCGCTCGACGACGGCGACGACGCGCCGACCGCGGCGAGGCGACGCGCGCGAGGAGGGGGAGGAACCGCGCGCGGAGGCGGCTCGCGACGCGCGAGCGGCGCGGGAGGGCGCGCGGGAGGGACCTCGAGTGAACGCGCGATGGTATTCACGAGACGCGGTGGACGCCGCGCGGCCGAGGCGCGCGCGGCGTCGGCGATCGTCGGTCGTCGCGCGCCCGCCGCGCCATCGCAACGCGCGCGTTCCCGCGAATAAGTTGCACTTCTCGTCGCACTCTAGAGTACCTCTTCGCCGCCGCCGCCGCCGCCGCCGCCGCCCGCCCCATCGCGCCAGCCTCCCTCCCTCCCTGACTTCATCCCTTCATTCATTCCTTCATCCCTCTACGCGACGACGCCGCCGCCGCCGCCGCCGCTCGCGCACGTCCGCGCGAACGCCCTCGCGAGCGCCAACCTCGCCGCCTCCGTCCGCGCGTCCAGCGCGCCGTCGCTCGCGCCGTCGCGCGCCCGCCGCTCGACGTCGGACGCGTCCGCCGCCGACGCCGCCGACGCCTCCTCCAACCTCGCGATCAATGCCGCGATCTCGCGCGCGCTCAGCGGCGAGTGCGCGCCCTCTAACAGCGGCACCGCGGCGCATATCGCGTGCGTCCACAGGTGCGTCTGCCCGCACCCGCGCGAGCACAGCGAAAGCAGCGCGCCCCCGGCGCGCGACGCCGTCGCGCGCGCCCTCCGTCCGGACACGATCGCGCCCGCGTGCGCGGGCGTCGGCGCGCGCGCACCCGCCCTCGCGAGCGACTTGAGGTCCGCGCGCAACGCCGCGAGCGCGTCGAGAAACCCCGCGGGGCCGACGCCGGGGCGGAACGACGGCGGATCGATCGCGCCGTCGTCGTCGTCTTTCGCGTTCGCGTTCGCGCCGCCGCCGCGCGTCATCGCGCGCTCGTCGTCGTCGTCGTCGTCGTCGCGATCGACCGCCGCGGGGTGCTCCGCGGCGAGCCGGGCCAACGTCGCCGCCGCCGCGGACGGGTCGTTCCTCGCCTGCGCCGGCGTCGGGAGCTGCTCCAGCGCGAGCGCGGCGACGGCGGCGACGTCGCCCGCGCGAAACGCCCACGCCACGGCGCCCGTCTGATCGCCGTTCGCCCTCGCCGCCGCCGCCGCGGACCGCGCGACGCCGAGCGCGGCGCCGTCGAGACCGAACGTCGCGCACGCTTCTAACGCGTCGCGCGTCGCGATGAAAAGTGCCGCGTCGTCGCGCGCGGTCTTCGACGCGGAGGCGCTCGCGGAGGCGCTCGCGGCGTCGAGAAACGCCCCGGGCGGCGGCGCGGCGGCGCGCAGCACCGTCGACATGACGCCCGCGCCTCTCGTCGCGCAGTGCGGGAGGTACCGCAGCGCGAGGTCGCGCGTATTCGGGCGCGTCGCGAGCGCGGCGCAATACTCGATGAGATACAGCTCCGCGTGCGTCGCGCCGAGGAGGCTTCGAACGGGTCGCCGCAGAACCGCGCCGGAGCCGGCGGCGCCGGCGCGCGCGTCCGGCAGCGCCAGCCTTTCTCCATTCCCCCCCGCCGCGCGCGCGTCCGCGCCGACGCCGACGACGAACCCGTCCCCGGCCGCGGCGACGAGAAGCTCCGAGACGTGCGCGAGGAACCACGCGTTCATGTGCGACGAACACGCGTCGACGACGGCGGCGGCGTCCACTTCGATCGCCGCCGTCAGCAACGCGTCGAGCTCCGCGGACGCGCCCGCGCCTCGCCTCGCGACGCACGCGGAGAGAAGCGACGCGTGCTCGCCGTTCGTCGCGCGCAGCGACGGGTGCTTCCGCAGCGCGGACGCGACGAAGAACTCGAGCCATCCCGCGCGATCGCACGCGCGGTCGAGCTCGACGTCGTCGCCGGCGAGAATCGCGAGCGCGGTTCTCGCGCCCTCGGCGGTGCGCTGATCGACGCACGCGTCGAAGAGGTCGTCGGCCGCGAGCACGTCGCGGACCTGCCGAAGCCACCCTTCGCGGAACGCGAGAAACTGCGGCACGGACGTCGCCGTCGCCGTCGCCGTCGCCGAAGTCGAAGTCGACGCGCCGCCGCCGTTTTCGCCGTCGTCGCCGCCGTTCGCGTCGTCGTCGCCCCATCCGCCTCCCAACCTCGGCGCCGTCCTCAGCAGCGCGATCAGCGCCTCCATCACCTCCGCCTGCGGTTTCACCGCGATCTTCCCCACCCTCCACGCCTCCCACGTGCTGTGCAAGTGAAGCAGATCGATCGCGGCGTCGTTCCACCCGACGGCGACGAGCGACGCGAAGCACTCCCAGTACCCCGACGCCGTCTCCGCGCCCCGTCCCTCGCCGGCGGCGTCTCCGATCGCGCCGACGAGCTCGCGCAGGCGCTCCGGCAACGACCCAGGCCCCAGCCCCAAGCACGACGCGTTGCGCTGGAACCACGCGACGAGCGAGGACGTCGCGACGCCGGTGCCGCCGCCGGGCTCGAGGAAGTAGACCGCGACGAGGTCCCAGACGGCTCTCTGGAGGATCGCGACGCCCGCGCGGGGGTCCGACGCGTCGGCGGCGGCGTCGGCGGCGGCGGCGAGGACGCCGCTGACGTCGCTCGCGAACGCGGTCGCCGCGGCGATGGACGACGCCGCGGGGGAGTCGGAGTCGCGGTCGTCGCGCGCGCCGGGGGCGGACGTCGTCGTCGTCGTCGCGGCGGCGGCGGCGCGCGACAGGCCCCGGCGAAACAGTTCAAATTTGGGGAGCGTCTCGCGCGCGACGGACTCGTCCACGCCGACGACGCAGCCCCTGGCGAGCGAGGACGCGAGGGATGATGCGAGGGGGCGGGGGGGGGGGAGGTCAGCGCGCGCGGAGGAAGGGTCGACGGCGGGCACGGGAAGGGCGATCTCGGCGGGCGGCGGGACCGCGGACGCGATGAAAAATACACAGCCGCGCGCGCGGTCTCCCCCCGCCCCGTCAGCGAGATCCGCGCGCCGGCCGTCGCGACGATCGGTCGCGACGACGCGCGCCGAGGGAGGCGAACGAACGGGAGGGATCAGACGCAC